GCGGTGACCGCGCACGATGCAGCGTCGCGAGTGCCCACAGCGCCTGGCTAACGTCGTACGCGCTGAAGTGCGCCATGGCGCGTACGGCAGCCTGGATCCAGAGATCCATGAAGGCCTGTCCCGGCGGGTGATGCAGTGTGGCGATGGCCCACAGGAAGGTGGACATCTGCCGGGGGCACATACGGTGGCGGTGGCGGGGGTCCGGGGCGGCGGCGGCGGCGGTGGCGGCGGCGGCGGTGGCGGCGGTGGTGGCGGCGGCGGCGGTGCATGCTGCATCCAGCCAGGCTCGGCCAGGGCTGTGGCCAGTCTTGGCAAAAGCGTATACCAGAGTGGTGAGCTCCTGTTGCACAAGGTTGGGCATTGGCGGGATCTTTGCAACCTAGATAAGCTGTTATTACTTGGATGGAGGACACGCAGGTACACTTGGGGTGATGGTGGTGATGGTGGTGCGGGGTGGAACGGGCTGGGAGTGATGCTGCTGGTGCTGTTGTAATCACCACCTCAAAAGGTCATGACGACTTCATGTCACAGATTAGATTAGTGGGAGAGAGTTATCGACACCTTCCCCCAACAGTGGGATATGGGAGTGATGAGATCAACACCTCTGAAACCCTACCCTCTCACAAACACACACGCACCCCCCCGAGGCAGTCCGCTGCGGAAACCCTGTCCCTGAACGTCCCTACCTTACACCCCACCTCCACACTAACCCAAACAACACCCTCCCCTCCCCCGCCTCGCTCATGGTTTGTCTTTCCCCTCCCCTCCCCTCCCCTCCCCTCCCCTCCCCTCCCCTCCTAATCACAGCCATTCACAGCTAGCAAGCCCCCAGCTACCGGTCAAAACATCACGGACTCGCACCTGAGGTGGAAAGCTCTCCAGCCCCCAGCTCAAGGAGATATCCGCAGCCAGCTGCAGCAGGTCCAAGTCCTCCAATACCAGCCACCCGTCAGCTCGAAGCCGTGCTAGGGCCGCCAGGCAGGTAGCCAGCTGGCGCGGCCCCAGCGGGGGCCTGCTGCCGTGCCTGGCCTGTACTGCCGTTGCCGCCGCCAGCAGGAGGTGGTTCCGGAGCTTGGCTTCGAGCTCCGAAAGAAACGCCTGAGCGGATATATATATATGTATGTATGTATCGTTCCATGGGCCCCCATCGCAGAACGGCTTTGCCCGAATGGTACGAACGTACGACGAGGCAGTACAAGAAAATGGTGTCGAAAGAGCATCAACCCAATATCGCACTTCAATGCCGCGCTATTGCAAGAGATCCCCCGCCGCCGCGTCAATGACGGCAGCACCGTGATCTCCCCATTGCCCTCCCCATTGCCAACACGACCCAACGATTGCCGTACATGGCCGGAATCCTTGTTTCCTGATTGCCCGTTTTCAAGGCTAGCGGCACGCGGCCCCGACAACTCCGCCAGCTCACCTGCGCCGCCGGGGTATCTGCTGTGGCGGCCAACTTGCCGGAGGGTGGCGGCGGCGGCGGCGGCGGCGGCGGCAAGTGCATCCGTGTCATTTTCCCTAGTGCCGCCGCCAAATGCAAGACATTAGCCTGGGTGCCGTACTCACGGAATACGGCATGGAGTTGCCGCCAGTGGCGGCAGTCAACGATGGCGCGCATCAGCTGCCTGGGATCAGCTTCAGGTGCATGGCCGCCGCCGCCGCCGCCGCCGCCGCGGCTGCTGCCGTGAATGCCTTGAAGGGCGCAGTCGCGCAAGCGGGCCCCCTGGCACGATAGCGCAGGAGTGGACCCAGGCCCCACACGGCTCGGAGACCGTACGGCGGCCTCCGGCGAGGCCGCCGCTGACGATGGCGACCGCCCTGCCGCCGCCGCCGCCGCCGCCGCGGCCGCGACTGCAGCCCTCGTTGGGCTTGGCAGAAGCGCGGGCAGCAAAGTCGAGCTGCCGCCGGCTTGCGCGCTGGGAAACCTGCCTAGAAAGGCTGCACGGTTGGCCTCCGCTAAGGAGCTTGGCGAGCAGGACACATAGCTGCTGTCGCAGCTCACCCCAGCCGTGCTGCAGCTGAACGCGGAGGAAGCTGACACCTCGTTGGAGGCCGGCGCCGCTGGCCCTACCCCGGTTGCTGCTGCTGCTGCTGCTGCTGCTGTTGCTGCCACTGCCCGAGTCAGACCAAGACGGCTCTGGGCCTCACCCGCCACTGGAGCTTCCGTTGCTGGTTCCGGAGCACCACTCTGGGGTGTCGGGGCTCCGTTGGACCTGAGCACGTCCTTCGCAGTGCAATCGCCGCAGGTGTTCGTCTGTCGTGAAGTCAATCCGACGCATCTGCCACGCAGCTCCACGGCGGCGTCCGCCGCCGTCCCCGCAGCCGCAGCCCCAACAAAACGGGCGCCGGCTGCTGCCTCATAGGAAGCCCCCTCGTCGTCGTCGCCGCCGTCGCAATTGCGCGCCGTCATTGTAATGGTCGCTATCGCCACAGATGCCGCCGCCGCCGCCGCCGGCGGCACAGCCGGCAGTGGCTCATTGCGGCGGGTGGATCGTGTGCGCTTCTCGCCGCGCGGCTGAGACGGCTGCACCCAGCCCTGACCCGCCCACACAGGAACCAGCACCACGTCCTGCCGCGGCTGCTGGGGTTCCACTTCATCATTCCACCCCTGGTGCAGCTGCTGCGGCGGCGGCTGCCGCCCTTCCCAGGCGTCTCCGCCACCGCTGTCGCCAGCGTGTCTGGCCCTGAATGCCGCCGCCGTCGCTGTGGTTGCCAAGCGGTCTGGCGGCGGCACTCCAAGCCCCCGCTGGGGGCCCCGTGACGGGACGTGACCCTCAGCGGCAGCGGGCGGCCACCCTACCCGGCGACCTCCCTGCCGCCGCCGCCGCAGCAGCAACAAGAGAGCACACGAAGACTGGTCCTGCACAGTGCCCGGCTGGGGAAAATCGGGCTCCGAAACCAGGTCTCCTACGGTGCTCCTCTTACTCCTGCTAAGGCCGCGGCCACGGCTCCGTATGGCACTTTGGCGGTTGCTTGCAGCCCGGCGAAGATTCCCTTTCTGATGATTCTGGTGCTGAGGCTGGGGTTGTGACGGCAGTGGCTGCTGTGGAGGAACCCCCTGCGGGTTGGGCCCTAGGAAGGGCGAGAGGTGGCGGGGTGGCAGTGGGCCGCCGCAGGGGAGCCCCTGACGACGGCGGTGCTGAGCGGGATCTCGCTGTAGGGCAATGATGTCAGACGAGGGGGGGGGTGAGGAGGGGGAAAGTGGGGGGAGGGGGGAAGTGGTCGGGTAACTGAACTGAGGACCGTGTCAAGTCAACGGAGTAACCAATACACAGGTTATGCGCACGCACGCATACGCAGTGTATACAAAGCAGGTATCTGTTGACCATCGTGGTGAGATGGACAATACGGGCACGCGTGTGTGAGTGTTAGGAGAAGGGAAACATCGCTTACATCGATATGCGCCGCGCGTGGCTGTGTGTATGTGCGGCGGTTCGCAAGCATGCAAGTAGGCGTACTAAGGCGTCATAATTGCGTGGAGGAGAGCACGAAAGCGTCATGGGGCACAACGCTGTGACGACGCCAAACGGCAGCGAATGGACAGGCTGCACGCGGCGCAAGGCTTCCGTGCGTAGCAGACTGCACATACCAGGCCGATTACTCATTTGTAACCCATCTGGGCCCGTACATCCAGGGGGAAAGCTCGGTATGCCCACCTGCGGATCACCAGCGACTTGTGCATCCCCGTCGTCGCAGGTTCGCGTGCACGTGGCCGACTGGATACCGCCGGCGCAAATAGATGAATCAGCCCTCTTGGCTGATGCCAGGACACGCCATGGGCACGTCAATTGCGTGGTCGCTACGCCGTTGACACGTCCTGGGTTGCGATGAAGGTCGCGTGCTGGCGTGATGCAGCCGCCAAATGGAACTGATACCATAATCAGGATGACGTTCAACGCGCTTATCTTCGGTCCCGGCTGCTATTGCATGTGGCCTGAAATCGAAAACGCCTTGAACTCCTAAAAAGAAAGATGCTCTCATGATTCAAAGCATACATTATCGTTACATCGAATCATACGATTAACAGACAATTTCTACAGAGTTGAGCGAATAACTGAAGGAGAAATTTGCACCTGCAAGTTGCATGACCCTGGCTTATCCCAACACCGTGGCAGTTTGTTTATAAAAACATAATGTTGTAACCGATCTTTCGAGATGAACAATTCTGAAATATGTTTTCTCGTTGGGCTGGCGTATTCAAGGGCACCTGAAAGCTACCACCGCATTTGCAGTCGCCACGACATCCAACAATGTGAAAGCTCCATACTAACGTATTATCATTAGTACTCGTCTTGCTGCGAAATATACAACAGCAACAAGCTTAAAGTCTAGGGTGTCCCTGGGCCCACGGGACGCAAGAATGGAGCGATGGCAACAGCTCTCCACGCTGCTTCTGTGTATCCCCATCATAACACAACCCCTAAGCCCCCTTAAACCCTCTGAACCCGCCTCAATGCCCCACGACCCTTACTTCCCACGCAGCTGCGGAGGAAACTCCTTTGAACATATCGATTAGCGTCTTCCAGCCACACCGCACATCGACCACAAAAGCATTAACAGTTCTGGCTGCAGTTTGCGCTGCCTTACCTGACATCCACACCCTTTCAAACCCGCACCCGCACCCTCACCCGGGAACAACAAGGGCACAAGAGATCCCGAATACCCGAATCCACCGTATCCACACACTATCCAGTCTAGCTGCACCCAGAACCCACATCCCCGCACCGCCATACATACATACACACACGCACATCCAAGCGCAATCATCATCCCTCCGACACTGAGGCCCTCCTACTACTACCTACCTACCTACCTACCACTAGGACTACCACTAGTACTACTACATGAACGACCCTCCGTTGACCTCCAGCACCTGTCCAGTGACGTAGCTGCTGTACGGCGAGGCCAGCATTAGGATGGCCCCCGCCGCCTCGTCAGCTGACCCCACCCTCCGGAGCGGGATGAGCGACTTGACTGCCGACCAGTAGCCGTCGGCGGAGGGGATGCCCAACTTGACCTCCTTGCCACCGACCTGGTGGAAAGCAGTAGGGGGCATGCGCGCGCGTTTGTGTGTGTATGTGTGCATGCACGTTTGGTGGTACGGGGGGTGAGACGGACCACTGACGGTTGCTGGAGTCAGTCCGGGACAAACAGCTCAGAGGAAGGGGGGGAAATGCAGCAGTGAAGCATAGCGGGTGGGGAAAACCATTTGGCGGGAAATTCAGGAACCGGGTGGTGCGGGGCCCCCATGGACGGAGCAGCGGGAACGGAAACACCCTTCGTAGCACGCGAAAGGGGGGAAGCAGGAGAGAAATTACAAGCAGCGTGGGCGGCAGCAGCAGCAGTAGCAGCAGCCGTAGCAATTGAAAAAAGGCATGACGATAGCGGCCGAGCGCCAACAGCAGAAGCAGTAGCGCTATCAAATGCAGCAGTAGCAGCAGCAGCAGTAGCAATTGTACGACTGCGGCTAAGGTGTGTCGTGTCCTTCTTTCGTTATCCACACAGCCACCCATTGCGATTGCCGTACATACTTTCCTCTACGCGTCCCCAAAGCGAAGGAGCTCGTTTACACCGCCCCAACAAAACTTCCGACTTCTACCCCTCAACATCAGCCCCCCGCCCTCCGTCCCCTCTCCTCCCCCCCTTCTCACCAAGATGCTTTCCCCACCCTCCTTAGCCCTCGTGAGCCTCGTGTCGATGAGGCCGAACGCAATGGCGTTGCAGCGCACGTTGAAGGGGCCCCACTCCTTGGCAACGGACTTAGTGAGCCCCACGACCCCCGCCTTGGCGGTGGCGTAGTTGGCCTGGCCCGCATTGCCGTGTGTGCCAGTGGTCGAGGAGATGTTGATGATGCACCTGATCCATGGACGGAAGGAAAGACGGGGCCGACGTTAAGAGCTGGTGGATGTATGCGACTGGGGGTTGTTGGTGGGAAGAATAATTCGTTTGTCCGGTAGTTCGGTTATCCGGTAGTTCGTTTATCCTGTAGGTCAGGTTTTGGAACTCCCCGGGCCGTTGGGGGGGGGATCAGAAGCGCTTTTCAGAGCCGGGGCTACGACTAGGAGCTCCAGGATTCCCAATCTCTTATGCTCCGATACCGCTACCGCAAACATTGTTTGCTTAACGTTTGCAGTTGAAAAAACCTGGACAAGCCACAAAAGCCACGAAGCCACCTTAGCCGCACCAGCAACATCCCGCACCTGGGTTTCGCGACGCCGCTCCGCTCCAGCTCCATCTTGGCCGCATCGCGCATGGCGACCGCCGCCGCTTGGATCATACGGAAAGGTGCCGTACAGTGTACCTCGAGCATGGCAGCCCACTGCTCGGGGGTAATCTTGTGGATAACGCCGTCCCACGTGTACCCTGTACGACGCCACGGTTGGTCGTTGACGGTTGGCTAATCCGGTATTAATCCCAGTTATATCGTTTGCGGTAGTTTGTTTTGCATACAACATCCATCCAAAACCTGTTTCCTCGAGCTGCATGACATACAGGCAAACCCCTGTCCTGCAACACATGCGAAGACACACACACACACACATTTCCACATGTCGCTGGAGACACTTAGTCGCTGGAGCTCTCTTCGGTATGACGTCATCCCCATGTACCGCCATGTTGGGCATTTCCCCCTCCCCATATTGAGCGGCCCCGAAGATCATTAAAACACACATACATACACAAATACACACATACATCCATGCACAAATACACACACCTGCATTGTTGACCAGTATGTGCAGACCCCCAAAGGCTCTCAGCGCCTCCGAAACCGCCCGCTCCGGGAAGTCAGGTGCCGTAACATCGCCCGCCAGCGGTACCGCCCTGCCCCCCGCTTCCTGAATGGCACCCGCCACCATCTGGGCTGCCGTACCGTCCAAGTCAGCGCACACAACCGCCGCGCCGTGCGCCGCCAGCAGACGAGCGGCAGCTTCGCCGATACCCTTACCAGCACCTGGGTGGGGACATACACGAAATATGTTATGTGAATGAGTGAGATTTTAATCAAGTGCGCTGCGAGAAGGAGGTGCTGACGATGGCACACAATGTGGATGCGCGAAAAGTGAATACATGGTGGTGGGTCATGTACCGGTGATGTGGGTCATGTACGGGTGATGTGGGTCATGTACGGGTGATGTGGGTCATGTACGGGTGATGTGGGTCATGTACGGATGATAAGGGTCAGATGCGAACGTGTGGGATTCATATGAATGACGAAAGAGAGTTCCGGTAGAAGTTCAACCCAGCTGATGGAGTTAGTCAAAGAATTAGTCAAAAGTGGCATTTGCCAACTTCCAAGGGACCATTTGCCAGACTCGAAGTGGTTTGGAGGGGTGAGGACTCCAGGGAGGCGAGGAAGTGCGGGAAGTAGCATGTGGTTGATTGGGCGGGTGGGTGAGTTGGTGAACGAGTTTAAAGGGGAATTACGGGATGTGAGCCAAAGGAGAAGCATTTGGGCGAACGGACAGATGCTGAGGGCAAGGAATTGTGAGGTTGTGGAAAGTAGAAAGTTGGCAGTGGAAAGTATGCAACGCGCAACACCCTCATTACAACCCCTGGGTCGCTGAGGCCGTCCTTGCAGCAACGATATTGTGGAGGGCCCGTAAAGGGTTGTTTTCACACCTGTAATGAGGGCCACTTGGCCTTCCAGCATCCCGCCGGTGCCGCTGTGAGCTGTCGCGGCGCTTGAGGCCATCCGAAGCGGTGCTACGCTTGCCTCCGCTTCTTCACGTCCTTCCAGTTCATTAACTAATATGGGTAACCTTTGCCCCGCCAGTTGACCAGCTAGTATCGCCATCCTACGCCGGGAACCCTCCATTCGTTAACCAGCCTATCACGTCAACACTCGAATAGATGCGTTAGGCAGGGCCAATGCGAACATAAGGGTGTCCGAAGAGCTTAAAATTTACGCAAGCGGCAAAACCTAAGGTTGCAAACTCTCGCTATACGGTTGGAAGTATGCGGGCCCTGCGGGACCTTGGGCATGGTTCCACAGCGCACACTTTATCGCATAGCTGAAGATATAGGGTAACTTTAGATTTCATACCGAATAACCTTTATTCTGTTTACAAGAGGGCCATGTTGGGGCTTGGCGTCACGGACTAGCATTGGTTTGCTTGATTCAGTGACATGCCCTGACATAACAGTGATTTTAATCGGCACTCTAGGATTTAAAGAAGTAAGAAAGGGAGCCTAGCTTGCGCAGGCGTCTCCGTTTCGTCACGGGAGATTTCGCGCTGGGCTTGGCGAACAATGGCCGACCGACCGCATCAAGTCACGGTGTGTCGTCTTGCTCTTTTTCAACAATTGGTGGAGGGACAGGATCGGCGCCCTTTCCGCGTGCCTACCCTGTACCTGTCCTTGCGCCTCACAAATCTGTATGCAGTTTAGCAGCGGCTTGTTGGAGAAGCTAGCCGGGATAAAAAAGAAGGAAGCACCGAAGTCCGTAGCGGTTCAACGGCCGCAGGTCCAGTAAGCGAAGGGCGATGCAGTGGATGAGGGGTATGTGCTCTGTGCAGGCATGGACACGCGAACCGGCTCGATAGCCGACGCTGCGCTGAGCTCAATCCCCCCTGAATCATTGCCCCATCCAAACCGGCGCCACGTTGGCTGGGTCACGCCAAGGGTTCAGTCTTGCCGTCCGATTGGCAGCGCCATCTATAGGGGGAGAAGGGAAGTCACCGCGGGGCGATCTTAAGGACCCTGCCGACAGGGCACTTGGGTGTGGATAATACCGCCTTCTCCTTGGGAAGATTAAGATTGAGATATGATTTGACGATTACGAGAGCGCGATCGATCACACCACTGTCACTCGCATCCCTGGCAGCTAAGTAACTCTCGCCATAACTTTCTCCTACCCCCCCCCCTCCATCTCCTTCGTACATCCTTAACCACACAACCCTTCCCTCACCCCTTCCTCCAACCGTGTCCCAATACACCGTGCCAATCAAACCCCTGACTCCTTTCGGACTCTTGGCCGTGACCTCCCAAAGCCCCTACAAACCCCCGCGGCCCCCCACCTCCACCCGCCCTTGCCTTAATCCTTCATGTCGGCTCGCCCCACCTCAGTCTTCCGCTCCGGTCGCCCCTGTCCCCTGATGCCGCCCGACTGATAGCTCTTGATAAACAAATTAACCGACAGCTGCAGGTAGGGTGTATGTGCAAAAGGGAGGAGGTGAAGTGTTGTGTGTGTGTGGGGGGACGGCGGGTGTTTAATCCATGGCTGCGAATGGGCCACCGACCCATGGGACATGTGCTTCGAAGATGCGACATCATGTTGAAAGGAAACCACACCATAGACGTGATGTGATATAAGATGTGATGTGGTGTGTTCCGGATGCGCTCAGCTGCGGAAGGGTGTGTGCTGTCATGCGTGTGCGCGCACGCGTATTTCATTTTGGTACATGGTCACATGAACACACAGGGATGTGGGGACAAAATTCATGCATGCGCCCTTTCCAAACTACATGAGTCGGTTCGTCGCGGGGCTACTGCACAACCTGCTGCTCCAAATTTCCTAGATGCGCCCCCTCTTGAAAGACACCTCTTCCCTGGCTTGTTGAGAGAGAATCTGGAGACTTTTTGTGTGGTTCTTTGGGTCTTTTTTTATTCCATCACAATCTTTCCTGAGCTTTTTGCTGATGGCAGCCCGCGAGGCTGAGGGGACCGGACCGGCGCTATTGCGAACACGTCAAAGCGCCGGTTTTGGACTTTTGCGCAATCATTCACATACGTGTCAATGGGATTGCAAATCCAGTTGGGCATGATTTCGCGCTTCGTTTCCGCTCCTTCCCCCTTCCTCCCTTCCCGCCCGATCCTCGTCTCCTTTTGGGAGGGGCCGGTACTCCTTTTGGGGAAAATTTTAACAAATTAAAAAAAGCTCCCTTTGTATTAGCTCATTATGCTTGTTTTTTCTATGCCCCTTTTTCTCTCTTCCTCGAAGGCGACTAAGGATGTCCGGGGACTGCTTCTGAAGCACGAGGAGGAGGATCTGGTGCAGGTGACGGCGCGGGCGCGGGAGCTGCTTCAAAAGTACAGGTGAGTTAGTTCGTGTGGGGGAAGAGACGAGTGTCTACAGGGCGTGTGTGCGTGTGTATATTTCCGTGTGCGTCTTTGTTTGCATGTGTATTCTCTCTGTCTATGCGCGTGTGTGTATATTCGTGCTGCCGAGGGCGGGTGGGTTGTGAGGTGTCGTCACCTTTAGCTTTACCTGTGCTGTCTGCCACACAACCTGGTTCCGCCCCTTCTCCGCCAACCCCCCTCCCACACTCGTAAGTTCCCAGGTTGTTCCTCCTTTTCCTTTTTTCACGTTTGCGTATGACGTCCTCTCTTCTTCATCGTCCTCCGAACTACTTCCCCTCCTCCCCCGGTCTCTTGCGGTGGTGTAGTGTGCCGTACAAGACCCAGCCCTGCCAGGGGGAGGCGCAGGTCTGTGCGGAGTGCTTCAAGAAACACCCCAAGGTGGGTTCTGGGTTTTAGGGTTTTAGACCTGGAGATCGGGCAGAGAATTGGGGTGTTGGTTTGTAAAGCAGATGCTTGCTCGCACGTGGCTACAGGGGTTGTGTGTCACGTTGTTGTGCGGCATTTCCCTTCCGTTGTCCGTTGTCTGGTCTCCCTCCGCTTTGCTTTTACGAATAAATAGTTGTTGTTTTTTGCCATCCTCGCCCTCTTCGTCATTGCACACGTCGTTCTCGCCCTCGTACGCCACCGTGTCAGGAGGCGTGGCGGTGCGCTCAAGTGGCTGAGGCTTACCGAGTCTGCTCCACCGCGGCCTTCAGCGGGCGGTCACATGCAACAGCAGCAGCGACACAGGCCGCGGCGGCTCGAGGCTGACTTTAGGTGTAGACAATGCTGCTGTTGCGCTGGGATGTGGTTTCAGCAGGGAGGCTTTGTTTTTAGTTTTTGAGTTGAGGCTGTTTTCGCAGCGGCGGTGTCGCGGGTGGTTCTGAGCACTTGTGCGTGTTTTTCTCCAGCTGGCAACCTCCTTTCTTTGGTGGCAGTTTTGCTGCCTGATTGGATCGTTTTCTTTATTCATTTAGCTGTTTTCTTTATTCGAAGAAAGTCATAAGCTTGCCAAAATTGAACGCGTTTGTTTTCAGCTTTTCGATTCGTGTCTTTGTCAACTACACAAATGAAAATTATGTATTATATATTTATCATCCTCAATAAAAATAAGAGAAATAAATTGAACCATCGAAGAAAACACATCTCTCCTAACTCTCTCGATGCTATCCGTTTGCAGCACCTGCATTCCAGCTTTCTCACTCTCCTCCACTATTAACTCCTTCAACGGCCTTTACCTCTCCTCTCTCCTCTCTCCCAACAAGCAACACCAGCACCGGTTTACCTGATGAGATAACAGTGCATCAAGCATACACAACTGCCAGCCTCATCGCCCCACACAAGCCACCAGCACGTCCCGGTAACGTCAGCCTAAAAAGCTGAAAATAGACATAACCAATCTCTAAAATCACAACAGTATCCTCGGACTTGAAATCCTCACTCCTGCACCGTCTTAGCGCCGCCTTCGTCTCTTCGCAGTCCACACCCGGAAAGCATCCTCCTCAACCCCGACCCCTCCTTTTCCCGTCTCCTTCTTGGCCATCGTCCCTCAGCCTCAAGTCCGGTGTCAGAAGCTTTCCTTGCTACCCCCTTCTCCTTTTCCTCCTCACGGTTTGCAACCTTGCCGACTTGGAGGTATAAAGCCTTGAAGGAGAGGAGAAACAAGAAGGAACGCTTCAAAAAGGCACATTCCAAGAAAAAACATGTCAAAGGAATCCTAAAACGATAGGGAAAAATCCTTGTGTCTAGGTCAGCTTCATTCCCGCTCAGGCCTCCTGCTGCACTCGAAAGCTCTTCTGGATAACTCGCAGCTCGTCCGCATGCTTCTTCCACTGCCGGGCGTTGGAGGTGACGGTGAGGATGAAGACCCGGTTCTTGGTGGCGGTGGCGGCAACCAGGTTGTGGGGCTTGAGCTCCCTGACAGGGGGTTCGGGGAAAAGCGTGTACGGGAGGAAATGTTCCAGAGGGGAGAAATTTAACATGGACTACGAAGCAGCTGACCCAACAGCGAGATGTTGGTCCCAACACGCAATCAGAAGAAGCCGACACCAGGTTGCAAGGCACAACTCAACCGCAGCCACACGCAACTTCCCCAGGCCACCTGGCGGCTCAAGACTCCCCCCAACATACCCGCCCCAGCTCACCACCACCCTCCACCTCCAAGTTTCCCCCGGCCCTCCTCCCCCCAACACGCACCAAAGGTAGTACAAGCCTCCATCCTCTCGTACGGCAACCTCGGTGTTGAGCACATCCCCCTCGTCCAGAGGCCGGCCAAATAGCTCGGGAGCGAAGCCCTCAATGACTCTCTGCGGAGGACCCACCTCTCGCAGGGTTATTTTCTGGTTAGGAGAGCATAAATATTGCAATCGCAGTAAAGGGAAGGGATCGGAGGGGCAGGAAGTCATATGATGAAACCAACAAGAGGCAAAGAATCTGCACTGGCCCCAACCCATATACCTTTATAACTAAATTACCTTATCTAGCTGGAAGAGGGGAAGGGGGACGAAGCGGGGATTGAAGCGTTCAGACAACAACACGGGGGCCGACCTGGTCAATTAATCTTTTCAAAGTTTGCGATATAAGGTCATTAAGACTTTAGCTAGGCTTTATCGCACAATTCACCCTAACAATCCAGCCTAGCTCGTTACTGCATTGCTTAGCTAGCAAACACACAGCCGGGAATGTATACGCAGCAAGAAACAGAGGGATTCGAATGCGACAATCAAATCGCCAGCTGTCGGAGGCAGGCGGGGTAGGCAAGCAGGCAGGGCTGCATCCCAGCGATGAGATCTCCTCACAGCTCTAATCTCTTTCTCTACGACAAGAAGGCGGGCAGCTAGGCAGGCGGGTAGGCAAGTGACACGCCCCTCTTCCCCCCACCCACATCCACACCCACATACCTAGTGGGGAGCGGTGCGGTATGTGTGCTCACTACCCACCCACCCACCCATCCTCCCGCCTGCCCAACCCACCGCATTAAACCCGAGGTCCATAAACCTGGAGCAGCAAACATGTAGGTGGGGATTTCGTACCAACAAAGGGAGGTGAAGGGCTTGTGGTGATGAGTTGTGTTCTACCATTATGGACAGAGAGTGCTATCTAGCAGGCAGACAGACAGACAGACAGACAGCCTTCCCCAAGCCTTTCCTAGCTGCGTGCTCAGTAAAACCCTCACCTTAGCACAGGCGCCACCACCACCGCCACATCACCCTGCTCCTTGTTCTGGTACCGAAGGTCAATCTATGCAGCCGCCCCGCGGGGTCGTGTTGTGGGTGGTGTGCGGCCGGGGCGGGAGTCATTTGCAAGAAGCAAAGCGGGCCGGGTGGGCAGGGGCAGTGCAGGGTTGTAAGACGCAGGAAGCCCGGAGGACATGGAGACACGGGGGGCATACGCCGGCACCGCCGGGTTCCAGACGCCACAGCGCTCACAAGGCCCTATAGAGGAGAGAGCCGAGGACTTGCGCAAGGGCCAAGCACGCAAAACTCCCTCAAAAGCTTTTTATCACACAAAACGGTAGTAGGCGTTTGCGTGATGGTGATGGTGGTGGTTGACGCGGTGTGATGTAATGTGATTTGGGGCTGACGAGGTGACATGTGACCACGCCATCACCGTCGCCATTATTACGGCATAATACCGCACTGGCCGAACACAGCTGACACTGCCGTAAGCAACCGCTGCCGTACCTCCGTTCCACCCAGATCGGCAATTGAGACCGGAATCTCGTCCCAGCCTTTAGGAACCTTGAATTGATACTGCGGGATCTCACTCCACCCGACTCCATGCCCTCCAGATTTGCCCTCCGGCCGCGTGTACATGTAGAACCCGTCCTCGTCGGGCTGCTTGCTCAGGCCTGAGGGAAAAATCGCATGGCGAGGCGGTTATTATGACAGTTGTTGCGATTAATCGTTAGTGGTTAGCGGTTGAGGATTGCGGGGGGGGGTATGTTACGCACTTTAAAATAATGGGGGGCCATGCTCGGCAGGAGGAGGTGCGGAGGAACAAGAATAGACTGCTGCAGGACCCGTCGTCTCGTGGTGCGTAATGTTCGGGTAACTCTATATTAACATAGTCACGTCCCGAGTGTCCGTGTCGAGGCCAGCAGGCCGGCAAAATGACACGGTTGAGAAGGCACGGCAAGCAGCGCACACAAGCAGCACACAACATAACTCCCCCTACAAATCCTGGCCAGGCATCCCCGAGCCACGGCCGCTGCCTGGCCAGCTTCACCGCGACAGAAACTTCGCATGAAAGATGGCTACTGCAGGACATCCCTGGCAACCCATTCCTCCTAGTGAAACTCTATCCTGAGGAGAAGGGGGGTCGGTAATGAGTTGGCGTTCCGGGAATGTGCTGCTGCGTTCAGGCCATGCCGTTACAGGGAAGTTTACAATCAAAAATTTCGAGCAAGCCTCTGGCTGGCGAGGCTATGCCTCTGGCAAGGAGCGGAATAGTGTAGACAGGTTTAGGAAGAGAGAAAGGGGAAAACAAGCGGGAGGACGCAGCGGACAGGTTTTATAGTTTGGCTTCCAGGTTGCCATCCCAAGGAAGCTGCGGGATAGGGGCTGTCTGCGTGCTGTGACCTTTATAGCTTGATTGTATGCAATGGCTTCAGGAGCATAATCAACCCTCTAGTGCTGGCCTGCCTTTCCCAGTATTTCCCGCACAAATGGAGCATTCCAAACAATATTCCATTAAGAAGTCCACAACCTGGCGCCCGTGAGTGCTTCCAGCGTCTTTGTTTTGGCCCCGAATCCACAAATCCTGATATCCATAAATGCAATAGCAGAAACAATCCAGCAACCCCACAACTATATTTATGTGAGACGAGCAAGGCAGCGCAAGTCCGAAAGCGAAACGGCACAGTGCGAATATGCCAAACAATCAAACGTATTTCTGGCTTACCTGGAATGCGGCCCGCAATAAGGCCTTGAATCGCCTGGCTTGGGCGAGCGCCAAAAGCAAGGGTGGCCGCAGCAGCTATCGGAGCGATGAGAGCCTCTCGTCGAGCAAACGTCGTGCAAACCTCACGCGCCGCTGGGCTATCTTGATCGCATCGAAGCGAAGTGCATCGTGGTGCTACGAAGCGGCGGCTCGACGAAGAGGCAATAAACTTCACTCGTGCAGGACAGCGCAAGATGTGCCCTTGAGCAAGTGAAGGCGCTATCGGTGCCATGGCGTAGTATGTGCTCAGATTCGATAGGTTATTCACAGAAGTTCAGTTTATTTGAAGACACGACAGACCAATTTACCGGACCGAGGGGCTGGCTCGCTACAAGTGGTGGTTATAAATTATCTCAACTAACCGTATAAATTTGCGACGACACTGTTGATGGCCCCGTCCTTGCGGAGCCTTGATGTGAAACATGAGGATTTTATTTTGGAAGCTGTTGATATCGAATTATCGCCGGAGTATTTGGACACTGTCACGCACGTGGCCACCTTCGCTGGGACAATGAACTTAATTAAGCCCTTTGGAGGCTTGCTATTGACGGTTTGCCTGCCTTTCCCGTTCATAGGCCGCAACGTCAAGGAAGTGACCTTGCTGCCTTGTGTCCGTGTGGTGTGCGCAACACCCGCACGCCCAAAGATGCAACAATGCCCTACCTTTCTCAGCTATCCTCCAAACTCCTTACGTCTACCTACGCGTAGCGTGCGCGGCTTCCTTCAAATGCCGTAAACAAACACATGTCAGCGGGTCCTATTACTCTTTTCCCTGATATGACCCTTTCCATCCACTGTGGCGAAATCCGTGCCAACCAGATCATTATTCGTGCCTGAGCCTCAAGACAGTTCAGGTAATCGCAATATGTTGGGAGTTGCAATTCAGCAGGACAGAAACCTGCCGTACCAAGGGCTGAACAGTCACATCATTGGACCTAAGCAAGGAAAAATGTATCCCTGGCAGATTTCCTGCTTAACCTCCAAAGGACGCCTTCCGTGCGCCAGCGCTTGCTCGCCCCTCCGCAGCCTCGGCAGCCGAAGGCCAAGGCATCAGTGCAGCCATTTGGAATCTTCTCCAACGGAGATCTCCACTCGCCGCTGCCATTCCTGCCACAGCTGACCGCAACAAACTCCCGGCCTCAGCGTGACGCTTGCACGCTAGGCTCCCTCCTACCATGACTTACGACGTATAGTGGAAGACAGCGGAGTTACACAACCCATTTTCCCAGATTCGCTGCGCGTGATAAATAGAGACCGCCTCCGTGCACGTTGCTATTCCTTCCCGAGCCTCTTGAGCTCTTGCGCCAGCAGACGGCATTTTCGTCGTTTTGCGTTGCCGAGACGAGATCCACTAGGGGATGGAACAGCCGGAAGCTTGCATACTGCTGACGGTGACGGTAGTCAAGAGTGCTCGTGTGAAGTCGGAGGTGGTTGGAAGGGAAGGGTGATCGGGGTTACTGCGTCGGCAACAGCTCGTTGCTGCGACCCATGGGTCCCTTTAAGAGCGTTCCACAGGCGGGTGCACTGTTCACAAGTGTCATGAGATGGCTTGAGTTAGGGCGTCCGGGTAAAGTTACGAGGAGGTTGGGTTTTCCATGAGGTGTCAGATGTGGGTCAGTGGCGTTGGGTGCTAGGTTCGAATGGGTGCCAGGCTCGCGTCGCTAAGTCGAGACTAGAAATGGAGCTACAAAGGGCCAAAACCAATGCTTAGACTCAATGATTAGTCCCAGTACTTTACCCATGGTTTGCCAGGTCTCTGCGCAAGCAGAAAACGACGGTAACGGTGCGTCTTACGAGACACGACGGGCTGTGCATGGCATTAAGGCATCACCACAAAATGTCACAATATGCAAATCAGCTGTTGAAAAATGGCCATGTTGATGTGCTTCGCCTTTAAGTTCCAATCGGAGCTCTATGGGAATGCTAAGGCGTCGGGTACGACGATCAATTTCTACAAGGAAAAAAGTTGGGCTGTCGGCAGGTTAGCCATGTGCTATTGCAAGTCTATGACGGTGTATTGTGGAAAATCAAGAGCCTCGTGGCTCGCCAAACTGCTGGGACGCATATCCGTACAGTAGAATTCGCTGAAGAAGAATGTATCTCTAACTTATTATAGTCAAAACGATTCAACTAACCGTTGCCACGGTGACATTGTTTACCATGGCGTAAAACATTTGCGCTGTAAAGCTGTTCATGAAAAAGAACGGAGCCGCCCCGCGCCCTTAAGAGCTACACATTTCCTTGTGAAATCGCGCAGTTGTTAATATAGTTCTTAGGCTGAGTCCTTAGAGTCATAGCCCAGCAGCATTCTCAACAAGGTCGTCCCAGAAGAGAGAATGGCAGGGGTGAGGGGACTTTGCACCTCAGCTAGTCATCATGTTGGTCCCTATTTCCCTAACATGCGAGCATATCATCTGCCCGCATGTGCAGGTACCCTCCCCCGCCAGCCAGCTCACGAAGGTGCTGGCCGGCCTGCGGCATACGTTTGTCGTTGCGGATGCAACACTCCCGGATTGCCCCCTGGTGTACGCCAGTGAAGGGTGAGTCCAATGAGGGTCTGTTTCAGGGATAGTTCCTTCTTTCAGGGCAGCATGAGCGCAGGGAATGCCGTTAAACTTCGCTGCTTGCCTGCGCTCAAACCGCAGGTTCTACGCAATGACAGGATACGGTCCTGATGAGGTTCTTGGACATAACTGGTAAGCTAGGCTACCGCTAGCCGTGCCTTATCCCCTTGGTCCTTCGGGGACAGTGACCCTCCTCGGTGTCGTGCTCCACGACGGTTACTTGCGCACTTCTGAACGTTATTATGTCGCGAACCTGTATGGTGTTTCGCGATACAGAGGTGAAGTCTTTCAGCGCGGGGAGTTGGACATGCGGTTAAGGACATACTATGCGCTGGTCCGTTTCCTCGATTTACCTGGTCGCATCGCATACATCACACAATGATGAGCATCGCTGTACTGTTTTCGCTGTCGGGCGGGCTACCCACCGATGCTGTCTTCGGGGTAAGCCAAGGGAAAAAGCCGTCAAAAGCTTCTTGGGCCGCACCGCCGAGAGCGCAACGCTGCGCGGCCTGCGCTAACTCAGCTCAATGCGCGATTTGTTGTATCGCCGCTACGGAGGCCCTGACCAGCATTAGCGTCTGCCTGAAGGGCCTATTGAAGAAGGGCCGGAGGAGGGGTGCTTCCCGGCAGTGGGCGCTTCCTGCTAAGACGAGGCGGAAGAGCTCTGTGCTGCGCTGCTTCAGGCCCATTAAGGGTTGGAGGTTGCAGTCGCCGGCTTCGGCGGCACTTTACCCACCGTCCGGTCCTTGCCTCGTCCCTGCCCCTCCCCTTTCACTTTTCCCGTATAAAACGACTTCTATTACTACTATTACTACTACTGCTGCTACTACCACCACCTCATGTTCCATCCGACATAGGAAGTTGTAGTCGCTGTCGTAAGTAGTATCGCACCATCCACCCTCACCCCCCACTTGCACTTCTGCGTGGCCGCGTCTGTTTCCGCTCCTTCCCCCCCACCCACGCACACACCCGCACATACAGCAGAACGAAAAACGCACTCATGGGACAGCGGGATCGGGTTTCTGCTTTCCTGCCGCTGGGGGGGGGGGCGGCATTTTATCGTTGCCGTTGTTGTTGCTAAGTGCCTTCACCCCCTCGGCCCGCTAGGGGTGCGACGGCCTCCCTTTACTGCCGGCTCCCCGCCTGGCCTTGCCCAACCGTGCTTTCGTGCTCGCTGTGACCACCCGCACTTTAGCCATCACATCTAATCAATCATACATACGTACATACGTACATGCATACATACATCCACGTTTCACATACGCACGCATATTCGCATGACGCGTATCCTCAAGACCTTGCACCTCCACCCGCGGTTCCGACCGGGTCGATCTGGGTCCAGAGCGGGTGACGTGTCAACGCGGCAGGTCTAAATGTCCCTTTCCCCGGTCCTTTTATGCAACGCCCATTATTTACCTCCATCCCCGCCCCTGCTCCCCGCCCCGGCTCAAGCCCCTGCTCACCGCGCTCCAATGCCCGCAGGGCCCCGCCTGTGGGACCGTTTATACCTACACGCTGTGTGTGTGTGTGTGGGGGGTGATGCATCTGGATGATTTCCGTGTTTGAATGTGTTTTGCCTTAAGGTTCTCGTCCCCCTTTTGAGTGTTGTCCTCGGCTGTCCTCCCTCTTCCGCCCGTCTCTGGTATCAGCACCACTCGACTATGATTCGCCTCCCCTCTCCCCCCCACACACACTCGCCCGCTCTCGCAGCCGGTTTCTGCAGGGCGAGGGTACGGACCCCAAGGAGGTTCAAAAGATCCGCGAGGCCATCAAGAAGGGGGAGGCGTGCTCGGTGCGCCTGCTCAACTACCGCAAAGATGGCACGCCGTTCTGGAACCTGCTCACGGTGACGCCCATCAAGACTCCGGACGGCAAGGTGTCCAAGTTTGTGGGTGTGCAGGTGCGTGTGGAAAGTGCGGTGGCACGCCAGCGGTGGATGGGTGGTGGGGTGGGGTGTGTATCGGAACGTTGGATGCGGGGCGGGGGTGTGATGCTGAGCTGTGCGGAGGGGTGGGTTTCTTGCCTTTCCAAGTTTGTCTTCGCTCGGGGATTTCACGACCCAAAAGTCTTGCAGAAGACGCAGCAATAACCTTTTTTGTATGTGCATGCGTGTATGCATGTATGCATACGTGTATGCATGTGGATGGTAGCATAGAAGGTTGGCCCCTGCATTACCGCATCTTGTACCCCTTCCTTTCCCCTTCCCCCCTTTCTGCCCTCAGGTCGATGTGACCAGCAAGACGGAGGGCAAGGCGCTCGCGGACAACTCCGGCGTGCCCCTGCTCGTCAAGTACGACCACCGTTTGCGCGAAAACGTGGCCAAGAAGATTGTGGATGATGTCACCATTGCCGTGGAGAAGGCGGAGGGTGTGGAACCTGGGGCAGCCTCGGCCGCCGCCACGGCGGCTGGTCAGGGAAAGCCGCAGGGCGTCCGCGGCGCGGCCCCCAAGTCCTTTCCTCGTGTGGCTTTGGATCTGGCCACCACCGTGGAGCGCATCCAGCAGAATTTCGTCATTTCAGATCCAACATTGCCGGACTGCCCCATCGTCTTTGCTTCGGATGCATTTTTGGAGCTGACTGGCTATTCGCGCGAGGACGTGCTGGGACGTAACTGCCGCTTTCTACAGGTTGGTCTTGCATGCGTGCATGTGTATTGTGTGTATGTGTGTATGTGTGTATGTATGTATGTATGTATGTATTGGGGGGGATTGCGAGTGGAAAGTAGCTCTGATGGGGCAGCAGCCCTTTCACTAGTAGCAGTAGCAACTCTTGCAGCAATAGCAGCAGTAACAACAGTAGCAGCATTAGCAACAGTAGCAGCAGTAGCAACAATAGCAACAATAGCAGCAGTAGCAACAACAGCAGCAGTTGCAGCAGTAGCAACAACAGCAGCAGCAGATCTTGAACCAGCTGCGTGCCGAGGTGCCATGCCGGGTGGTTCGCGAGGACGTGAGGCACTGAGGTGAGGCCGTCGCACCCCAGTGGCGAGGAGGGGGTGACGGCAGTTGTGTTGGCATCGGTGATGATGCGCAAAAGCCGGCCGACGGCAAACTCGGTAGCGGCCGGAGAGCGGCAGTAGCAACGGCTGAGGAGGACTAGCAGCAGCCGCAGCATTGGCTATAGCAATAACCATGACAGTGTCAGCGGTATGGAGGACGGCGTCCAACGGCGCTTATGAGGCGGCAGCAGCTATCATTCGCGCTATCTGTCGGTCTATCCATCCATCCATCCATCTATCCAAGCGCACATGGGTATTTAAAAGGGGGGGTTCATATGCGAGAAACGAAAGTTGGGGGGGGGGTGCCAAAAGGCCGGGGGCGTAAGTGAACGGAGCTAACGAAGCTTGTCCGACTGCCACGGACTTTCTCCCATACCAAATACGTTTCTCCCGCTCATCGTTCCCTCTTCAACACCCGCGCCTAGCCAGCTAGAGGTTGCAGGAAGATGAGGGGCTGGGAGGTTGAATTTGGCGGTTCTCGGAAGGCTGTTTTCCTTCGTTTCTCACACTTACATTTTTAAGGGCATTAACTGAAAAAAGATGAAGTGCCCCTGGGTAATCGTCCCCCTTAACGGGACCGGCCATAGCTCTGCGTGAACTCCCCAGCGCCAGTCAGTTGGCGTCATTCATCCAGTGGCAGTTGGCGTAGTAACGAGGGGACGGGAAACAAGCGAGGGTGTCGGGGGAGTGTGTGTTTGTTCATGTGTAAGTGGGATGGGTGGGTGGGAGGGGGAGGAGAGGTTGGGTGAGATGTACATGTAACCGGGCCCCTGGCCCCCTGAAACCCTAGGTTAGCAGGGGGGGGGAACCCAGGTGGTGGGCTCACGGCTAGCAAGGAATTAAAAACACACTTCAAAAAACAGCAACCCTTGTCCTACCTTGTTTTAACCTTTTAATATCCCTTTTTTGTTATCTTTAAATCATTAAATGTTTTTAAAATGTATTGTTTTTGTTGATAAATTGAATAAACAAGAAAGCAAACTCACAATACGAGTGTCTTTTTATGTTTTTGGGAAGTTATTTTATCACTAATTAAGGACCGTTTTTTTGTTATTTACCTCACCTCTCCTTTAATGTCACCGCAGTCGCCTGGAAGGGAAGGGAAGGGGCCAGTCGCAGCAGTAGTAGCAGTCGCAGCAGCAGTTGCAGTTGCAGTAGTAGTAGTTGCAGTAGTAGTAGTTGCAGTAGTAGCAGTTGCAGTAGTAGTTGCAGTAGTAGTAGTTGCAGTAGTAGCAGTTGCAGTAGTAGCAGTTGCAGTAGTAACAGTTGCAGTAGTTGCAGTCGCAGTAGCATCTCCTCATGGAAGCCTTGTTTGCATCCTGAGAGGTGTTGGGGTTCCTCTCAAGGGCGGGGAGGTGTCGGTCCGGGAGGCAGGATGGCCTGGCCCTGCCCCTCTCTCTCACCCTCGTGTATACAGATACTCACATTCTCTCTCACTCGCATACAGATGCATTAACACACACATATATACATAAACATGTATATTCATATACATATATATTGGATTGTTACAGGGGTGGGAGGCTTCTGGGCCATTAGAACACAAAAAAGATACCTATATATGTATAGATATGGCTACACACCCGGGCATTACTGCGATTTCCCTCCAACGCATCCACCTCCGGGGACATGCAAGGGCGAGGGGAGGTAGTAAAGGCCAGGAGGGGGCAAACACCTTTTCCACGGGGGCCCCTGGGGGCGGGAGTTACAGCCCAGACATTGCCGACTCCTCCTCTCCCTGTCAGAGGGATGGGAGGTAAGGGAGAAAGGGGGGGGAGATTTCGGGAGTCCCGTCACCTTCTCCCTACCTAGCACCCGCACAGTCGGCCCTATAGGTAGGGGATGTGATTATCCTTTTTATTCTATTATTATTCTCATTAGTAAATTTATTTTATTTTATTGTTTATCATTATTATCATCATAAATTAAACAAAAATATATTGTAATACATAAATAGTAATTGTTGTTATATGTTATAGTTTTGATTTCGGTTATCCGTAAAACACCGCAAGGGACTTCTTCTTCCCCCCCTCATACCCCCCCCCTTCTCCCACCTCCCCGCCCCGGCTCCCTCTCGCCACTCTCATCACCCGTTCCCAGGGCCCCGGTACTGATTCAGCCACCGTGGATCAGATCCGTGAGGCCATCCGCACGGGTACGGAGATCACGGTCCGCATCCTGAACTACACCAAGCAGGGCCGACCCTTCTGGAATATGTTCACCATGGCGCCCATGAGAGATCAGGACGGCTCAGTGCGCTTCTTTGTGGGGGTGCAGGTGCGGGACTGGGCCCTGGAAGACGGGGGTACGGGAGGGGTGTCGGCTGGCGGGACTCGGGGCGGGAGTGCTGGAGTATTAGCGCCGGTGTGTGTATGTATGTGTGTGTGTATAAAGGGTAGATGGATGTCAAAGGGAAGATGAAGACGACCGTACCGAGACAGAGGTTCGAGCCTCCTGTGTCTCTTGATCCCTTGACCCCCGTCTAATTCATAAATACGGCCCTCCTTGCCCACGTGGGGCCCCGTCGTGGTTCCATACCCCGTGTCTTTCCCTTCCCTAACAACCCCAACTCCCCGCTGCCGTCGTTTGCCTTTCCTACCCGCCCGCACGTATGCATATTGTGCTACGACGCATGCCATATCCTGCCATTTTAAAATATGTTGTTGGTTTCACGTCGTGCTTTAGCATGTATTGTACGACGTGTCATGTCGTACATTCTACGTCACCTGTCGCCCCAGGTAGACGTGACTGCTCAGTCCGCGACGCCGGACAAGACTCCCACGTGGAACAAGACTCCCTCCGCGGAGGAGGAGAAGGCCAAGCAGGGAGCCGTGGCGGCGTCCATGATTAGCAGCGCGGTTATGGTACGACAGGGGGGGAGGGGGTAGGAAGGAGGAAGAGGGGGAGGAGGAGAGGGGGGTTGGGGCCCGGCATGTCGTGCCGAGACCTGCATGTATGAAGCCGGGTTGGTGTTGGGTTGGGGGGGGAGGTGGAGGTGGTTATTGTTCTTGCCCCTTTCTCTCTATATATATCTTTATGTCTATCTATCTTCAGCGTTTTTCCTTACTTGAATTCTTAACCGCATGTGTACCGCGTTCCGTCTCTATATTCCGATGTCATCTAATTATCTAACCACCTGTCCAACTACCTGTGCCGTACAGGGCATGGCCACACCCATGGCCAGCAACCCCTGGGCCGCCATCAACGGGGAGGTCATGCGGCGTAAGCCCCACAAGAGCGATGATAAGGCCTATCAGGCGCTGTTGGCGCTGCAGCAGCGTGACGGCAAGTTGAAGCTGATGCACTTCCGGCGTGTGAAGCAGCTAGGGGCGGGAGATGTGGGTCTGGTGGACCTGGTGCAGCTGCAGGTGCGGAAAGGGGTAGGGGAAAGGGAGGGCGGGAGCTAGGGCCGTGTGTGTATGTGTGTATGTCGTGACCATAGAGTGGACGCAAAATGACTGCATGGCTTCTTTAGGTGCTTGTGTATGTGTTTTAATGAGTCCAGCCGCGAGGATTGTGTGTGTCTGTTTGTGTCTGTTTATGTCTCTAGTGTGTGTATATGTGTTTGTGTGCGTGTTCTTACATCGTTTGATCGGAGGGCTTCCGCCCACTGGCCCCCTCCACTGCCCCCCTCCACTGGGCCCCTCCACTCACTAGCCTACTGGTCAGTTCTGCTTTTTCCTTGGCAGCAGCTTTTCACTCGTTCGTGGTTCACTCGTCTTTCCCCCCCCCTCTTTCCCTTCCACTCAGGGCACGGACTTCAAGTTCGCCATGAAGACCCTGGACAAGTTCGAGATGCAGGAGCGCAACAAGGTGCCCCGTGTGCTGACCGAGTGCTCTATTCTGGCGGCTGTGGACCACCCCTTCCTGGCCACCCTCTACTGCACCATTCAGACCGACACGCACCTGCACTTCGTCATGGAGTACTGCGATGGTGGGTGCAATAGCGGGGAAAGGGGCACCGACAGACCGACCAGAGGGAAGTCAGGGTGGGAGGAAGAGCGGTGGTTCTGGGTGGTGGGGAGTTTCGGGGACCCCAGCGGTTGGTGCTTTGGAGACGTCGAGGCGGCTGTCGTTACTGACTTTGCTGCGAGTTCTCTTTCTTCTTCTTCTTCTTCTTCTTCTTCTTCTTCTTCTTGAATCATAATTCATTATCTGATCCCCTTCCCTTCCCCCCTTTTCCCCCATGGCGCCTCTCTCCTCCGCCCCCTCTTCCACTCCTCCTCCTCCCCGCCCTCCTCCCCCTCCTCGTCCACCCTCCTCCTCTGCCCCTTTCTTCTTCGGCACCTTAAGGTGGCGAGCTGTACGGCCTGCTGAACAGTCAGCCCAAGAAGAGGCTCAAGGAGGAGCATGTCCGGTTTTACGCGGCGGAGGTCCTCCTGGCCCTGCAGTACCTGCACCTACTCGGCTACGTGTACAGGGACCTAAAGCCCGAGAACATCCTTCTTCACCACTCGGGGCACGTGCTATTGACGGACTTTGACTTGTCGTACAGCAAGGGCGTTACGACACCGCGGCTAGAGCGCGTGGCGGCGCCGGACGGCAGCGGTGGCGGCTCGGCGCCGGCGCCGGCGGGGTCGGCGGGGTCAAAGTCTTCGCGCAAGGTACGATATGTGAAGGTATGACAGCGGAGGGTGCTGAGCGGCAAAAAGGGGGTTTGTTGGGGGGTTGGTGGAATGGGCGAGTGGATGCGACGACTTGAGTATTGGGGTCTGGGGCGTTTCTACCTGTTTGTCGTACACGAATGACTTGTCTGTTTTGTACTGCGTTTTCTTCTTCTTCTTCTTGTTCATCTACTTCTCTCCTCGTGCTCTCCTCCTGGCGCTTTGGGTCGCGTCTTAGTCCGATCCAGTCTCCTGTTTCTCCTTCCCACCCCCCTCCAGCACCACACACGCACCGTCCCACACACGTTTACGTTTTGTAAAACACGTTTTGTTTTTATTTACCACGCCTTCGCGTCACCACCGCATATACGTACTACTCGAATATCACCCGCGTTGAAAATTGGGAATAATGGGAAAACCGCTAAAAAAGGCCGTTCGACTCTTTTTTTTTGTCCCTTCCCTTCGAAATTCCCCCCTCTTTCCCCCCCTTTCCATGTGGTGCAGTCCGGCAACAACAGCGGCAAGCACGGGGCCGGTGCCGCTCCGGGTGTGGGCCCCACGGGGGAGTCCTTCCTGCTGCTGGCGGAACCTGTGGCCCGTGCGAACAGTTTCGTGGGCACCGAGGAGTACTTGGCACCGGAGGTCATCAACGCGGCGGGACACGGATCGGGTGTGTTATGTGTGTGTGTGCTTTTTTGGGTGGGAGGATGGGTATGTATGTGTGTATTGTGGGTATGTATGTGTGTTGTTTATGTTTTTTTCGGGGGGGAGGATGGGGCTGGGGATATATGTGTGTGTGTGTTTGTGTTTGTTAAGCGGCGCTTTGGATGGCGGCGGTTGTCTGTTTTGACTTCTGACCTAGGAAGGGGCCTCCACGTAAGTCGCTTGCGAAACCCCCTCTTTTTCCACGTGCTTCTCACTGCTTTTTTTCTCTCCTCCTCCCTCACCCCCCCCCTCATCTCAACCTCCTCCTCCCCCCTCTTTCTTTAATCTTAACCTCCTCTTCAACTCTTTAACTCTTCAACCTTCGCGTCCTCCCCAGGTGTCGACTGGTGGTCGCTAGGCATCTTGATCTACGAGCTGCTGTACGGCACTACACCCTTTCGTGGATCAAGGCGGGACGAGACCTTTGACAACATCATCAAGTCACAGCTGCGCTTCCCGGCCAAACCTGCTGTCAGTGAGGAGGGCCGCGACCTCATCGAGAAGCTTCTGGTCAAGGACGTGAGCCGTCGCCTCGGCAGTCGTACAGGGGCCAATGAGATTAAGTCGCATCCCTGGTTCAAGAGCATCAATTGGGCGCTGCTGCGCAACGAGCCGCCGCCGTACGTGCCGCGCCGGGCATCCAAGACGCAGGGCGGTGGTGGCGGCGGCGGCGGCGGCGCGGCGTTCGACAACTACTGAATGTACGACAGTAGTTCGCGGCTTGGTTGGGACTTTGGGTGAGGAGGGGCTGGGGCGGGTGCGGCGGTTGAGGATATGGCTATGGCTTTGGGGGGTGGCGACAGAGGGAGGGGGGAGGAAGGGGTTGTTGGGTCGTTGGGAAAGGGCCTCTAGGGGCGCCGTGTGAGGTTCTCTCTCTCTCTCTCTTTCTCTCTCTCTCTTCTTGAGGGGTGGAAAGACTGGAGGGAAGGGGGAAAGGGTCGGAGGGACAGGGACGACTAGGAGGAGAAGGAGGAGGAGGAGGAGGAGGGGAAAGAAGGAGGGAAGGACGGCGAGGACTAGGATGCGAAAGCGGACGAGGACGCGCCAAAGCGCAATCGAGTACGGGAGTCCGTTTTTATTCTCCACTGCCATCGCCATTTGCTGGCCATTGCCATTGCCAATGGACCGTCCCGGCGGGGCCCCGAGGAGGGCAACGATGGCTCGTTGCGACGACTGACCCGTGGGTCGTTGTGAAGGGTTTTGGATCTACCTACAGGCTTCCGCGACGGTTACAGACCGTCTGGGTCGCTCTGGCTGTGACCCGTGGGTCACACGCTTGAACCATGAGCCTGATGACGTTTGCCCTTGGCGGAAGTAGGTGTTTTTTTGGCGGCACGGCGGCGTTGCAACGTTTTATCAGTAGAGTCGCACTAGCTCCTCCTCTGTGCGTCTTGTTGCTGTGTATAAGTGGTGCGCACCAGGCCTTTGGGCTTTATGGAATCGTACTGTGCGTTGCAACGCATGTTTCCGTGTGTTTAGTTTGGCTGCTTACCTACCTGCCCGCTTACCTACCTGGCCCCAATCACGCGACCAATCGCCCGGTCATGGCCTCCACGGCGGCCCGTCAGGAGGAGGTGTTTGGCCGCGCCGACAGGTTGCGCCTCCCCCTTGCAATAAGCTTGAAGGGATCATCATGCTGTGTGCGTACAGTTTGTATGTATGTATGCTTGTGTATGTAATTATGTATGTATGTGTGTATGTATGTATGTGCGTACGGTACATGTGTAGCAAATGCTCTGTGTGCTGTGTGTGCGTGTAGGACCCCCTTTAGGGCACTCGAGCTGTTCCGATTTAGGGTCCCATGTGTACGTACGTATGTATATATGCGTGTATGTGCGCCTTTTATGAACTGCCTTAAGACCGTAGCGAACATGTAGGCTCTTTGGTGGCGTTTTGAGTACGACAGCCGCTCTGGAAGGGGATGTCAGTTTGTATGTCGCCATGCGCCATGAGGCGCCTTCATGGTTTTTGATGCTGGCGCCGCCGGAACCACTGTGGGCCGTGTTGTGCAAGAGTTTTCCTGGGATGGGGGGGATAATGTTCAAGGAGCTTGGGGGCTTGTGTACATGGGATTGCGCGATATGTGTGTGTGTGTGTGCGAATGCGTCGTGTGTTTGGGCATAACGCGTGTTCGCGCCTTCTGCCCTCTGTCCGTTTTACTAATCCGAACATGCGGCGATGCAAGTACGACATGATAAGTACGACATGCACGTCAGGACCGGCGCAATTTTGCTGTGCGACCGATGTGGATGACCACTTTAGCCGTTTAGCCGCCATCATCATATCATTTATTTTCAGTCCTAAAATCCCCCGATGGAACTTAGAGATCTCAAGAATGAGACTCTTGAGTCCTGTACGGCTCAAGGGGAGTCCGTTTTCCGGGTTTGGAGCTTTTTACTGGGAAGTCATGTCGTCCGCCATCAAGCCATCTACGGTGGTGCAAATTTTACGGATGCTGGTCGGTACATAGTCGCAAGAAATATCACAAGCATTTTCATGGCTCTGTTCTCCTTATGCTGGATTTCAAATCTATTTCTCCGTCGAGGCGGCAAAACACGCGATGAGTGCGCGATGATGAGCTCCGAGAAACGACGGGACGACGGGAAAACAGGATAATAATAATAAGCCACAGAGGGCCGGTGTGTTATCGGGCTCTGCTACGGTGCGAAGCGGCGGCCTTCTTGCTCGCCGCGGATTGGAACACATCACCCCGGGAGGAGTCACGGACCCGCTGCTAGTAGCCGTGCTGTCTGGACGTCTGTAGTGTGCGTGTTGGTGTTCGGCTGTGTTCGGTCGTGTAATCCACGGCAAGTGACAGGTTTCCCGAGTGTAGTGCGGTGGTGGGCGGGCAAATAGTGATGCATGGTTGGATGGGCAGCGCTGCCCTGAGACTTCCATTCCAAAAATTCTTGACCGGTTTATTGTATAGTTTTGTGGGGTTGCTGTGCCTCGCTTGTGTGTGGGGTGTGTTGTCCTCGTAGATTGTTTGCGTTTTTGTCGTACAAGCTGCACGAGCTTGTACGGCCCAAACAAGTCAAGTGGCTCACGACGAGCCGCCGAGCTGGAGTGCACAAGGGTGGTACACGATGCGTTCATGGATTAGTGTCTGGTAAGTAATATTGAGGTGCTTCTATAGGTCGCCATTCGGTTGCGCATGTATGTACGTACGTATGTATATATGTATGTATGTGTGTATCTTGCATGGCAATCTGGGCGGCCTCTTCGTGGAGGATAAGTAAGTGTTGGGGAGTCCGCCAACGGCACGGTCTTGGCCGTGAGAAAAGCGTTACTGGGTAAGGTGGAGTTGAAGCCGTACACCCCCACCATACCGCCATTGAGCCGCCACGATCAGCATACAGACCTCTTGAGGAGGTGCGCCGGCTTGGCAGGTCAGAGAGACAAGTACCGGCAGCTGGCAGCTCGCGGGTGGGCGAGGCTTGCAGAAGGGGCGGCATCAAGCGCGGTGGTTTTGCGGTTGTGGTTGCGGTTGTAGTGTGGCGCTGTTGGTGTGTGTGGTGGTGCTTGGTAAAAATAATGACGGCGTTGATAATAAAAACTGAAGTACTTGCGTGTTGTGATTTCCTCTGATGTCAATGATGACGATGATGCGAACCGAGTAAAATTGAATCAGGTCGGGATGCAGGGCAGCACCAACGGAAGTAGGACAGCTACAGAAGGGCACGTGAGTGGGTTTTGTTTTCCATCGAATGCCTCTCCCCCCATCCTACCCACCCCGGTATCGTCGACACTCTCGAGGGGTCGAGAAGGGCCACTTAATCTGACGCGGCCGCGTCGGCAGGTCTGTGTGCGGCCCCCGTTAACACCCTCCAGCTCCTTTGTCACCGCCCCGTCCTGCTCCACCTCCTCTAACCCCCCTTTTAGCTCTCACATGCCTGGGCCGCTCCCCCGGAGGCCGGAAGCTGAACCTGGGGTATTATGGAAGGGACTGTGTGTAGTGTTCAATACTTGCGCGTGTGTGTGTGTGTGTTTGCGGATAGATTGTTTGTAGTAGAGGGGCCTGAAAGCAACGCTTGCATGTTTATGGTAGGGAACTCTTAGAAGTATAATGGGAGGCGACCTATTTCCCGGGACGCGCCAGCCCCCTCATATGCCCTAAGCGCTGCCCTCGCTGCCGTTGATCTCTGTAGCCCATCCTCCCTGTTGCATCCCCTTGACAGCGCAGCGGGGTGTGTGTTGTGCCTTGCTTTTAATAACAGAGTTGGAAAGGCGTTGAATGAATCGTTTAGACGTTGAAGAAATTTGCGGATAAGGCTACCTTTTTCTCTTTCTCTGTCTCTCACACACACACACACACACACACACATTCTCCCTTCCTCTCCCCGTGTCCCTTCACCTGTCGGGGGATGGGAACTCGGGGGCTCAGCCGGCGCGAGGGTGGTCAGCCCTGCGGGGCGTGGTGCAATATGTGAGAGCACGTGGCTTGGCTGTGGCGCGGCGCTACGTTCAAGGACGGCTGTTGTAGGGTGTATGAGCTTTTTTGCTTTTTGAAACTCAATAATGACAGCATCATTATCAACAATAACAAAAACTTTAACAGCAGCTGTTGGGTGAAGGAGTACCGGGGACTGAGTGGACGTTGAGTGTACCAAATGTTTAGGGTCGCTGTTTTGCATTAATGTTGGGAGTGAGGTTATACGTATATGCTGTATCTCTATTTGCCACAAATTGGTGAACGAAGAGACCGAAATAGCGTAAGGTGCTTCGAGCTACTGCCGCTGCTGCTACTGCGCCGATTGGGAGATGGGGAGGCGAGGGAACGAGCGGGGAGGGGGGAGGGGGAGACCTGGCCGTTATGTGTTATTTCGGGCTACTCCATCCGAGTGTAAAACAGAACAATGCCTACCTCGCATTCCGACGAGAAATGGAAGGCAGGCCTCCTACTCTACCCAAGTTAAAACAGGTCCTCTACCCTCTAACCTCTACACTAAGTTTAACAGGTCACCTTCCCGGCCGCCGCGCCCTTAGCAGCACGAACAACAACACAAATCAGCTATCATCGTCGCCGGGGTCCCATCAGAGCAACAGACCCGGCCATCCACGACATTGCATCTTGCTTGTTGCATAATTTACTTCCCCTCCTAGTGGCAAATCAGGCTTCCTCCGGTATGCACTTCGCTGGCAACACCTTCTGCGCTTATATTCGCCTAGACAATACACAAAGTGTGGCAATGAGGGCATATTATTAGGGTTGTCGGGTGCTCTGCTCTTTGGGCGTTTCCTAACATTACAGGGTTGGCCCTCTGCACGTCCTCTGCGTGAAATGGGAGGACCGGAATTTAAAGCTCATTAGCACAAAATGACAGCTCAATATATACTTAATCAGGGCATACGGTATCACTTTCCTGCGCGAGCCAAGTCCACAAGAAGGCTCAATGCTTACTGGATTTGCGCTCGCCGCTGGCCAGGTGTGAGAGCTGAACTGGCTGCGAGAGTGCCATGGTTTTCTATGTGTGCGAGTAGGAGTGCCGAGTGAATCAGGTTTTCAGAGCTCCTGGACCCGTTCGTCCTTTTGCGGTGCCGTACAATTGCTACCCGTACAATTGGCACATGCACCCACGCCTCCCAAGCTCCAGAACCCTCCCTGGCGTTTTCGTGTGCAATCCGCCACCAGGCATTGGCAGCGCAACAACATTGTTATGGACTGGCCTTCCATGCCCAGGGCTTGGTGCCAGCACCTACGTCTGCGACCCGGCTTTCCTTCTGAGTGGAGGGTGGAGTGGAGGGGACTCTTGCCGGTTTGAAGGTATATATCGCTGAGACGTGTTCGTGCTGTACGGCAATCCCGTTGTGGTAAGGTGGTGCCATGCGGGGCGCGCCAGGGTCTACATTTCCCCCCCCTGAGGCGGTTGTTGGTGGTTTCCGTTGGTGATGCTGGTGGTGGCGGTGGTTGTTTGCGGTTGCTCTGCGTGTGCTTGCTGCGTGCGTGCGGTGTCTGGCTCTTTGTCTGTTTCGGCCTAGGGCCTTTTCCACTTCCAGCCGGCTCTGATCCCACTCTCCCCCTTTCCTGTCTCAAGGCTTTCTACCCCGTTTTTACCTTTTGATTGCCTTCGCGCTGTTTTCATCTGAGAGGTTGCGGATGCAGCTTCTCCTCCTTCCCTTTTCGTGGAGTTTCGTGGTGTGCGCTGTTCGGCGTGTGAGCTGTGTGTGCTTTATCAAGTGGGTAGCAGATAAATTTCGGCGCTGGTTCAGGTTTAGGATTGTTTCTTCATTCCCTAGTCGCGCTCTTTCTCTGGTTACTTCTGTATATTACTTGGGATTAGAAACAACCGCAATCGTTACGGCTAGGTGGCTAACAACGCTTACACGTTCCGTTTGGTAGTCGAAATCAGAAATATTAAATTGGAAGTCGCTGAGGCAGTACACCGGCGGCTCCGGTCTTGTCCGTGCAATGCAGCAGCCGTAGCGCTATCAAATGTGGAGTAAGTCCGTTGTACGGCGTGCCTGCCGGTCTCCCTGACCCATGGAACCAGCCATGACGGCTTGATGTACCTACGAGGTGTTTAAAATTTAGTATTCGTTGCTCATAATAGATACTCATGAACAAACAAAGGCGCTTGTCGCTAAGCTCGTCCTTCTCCCGGTGACACGACAGTTGGTCAGGGCAAGCGTCGCGCACCCGCGAACCGAAGTGAACACGGAGTAGTAGATAATATAATAGAAACATATTACATGGATAATTTGAGGTTAGCATGAGAAGCTTCTTACAAAAGATGAATTCTTGCGTCAAGCCTGGTGCGAACGAGTTCCAAGACAAATCCAGCGTTGACGAAGTAATGGCCACAGTTAAAATGTCACATACAGAAACGAATGATGATCCGAAGGTATGATTTGCATCGCAATTGTGCTGGCTAGAGATGCAGTTGCTGCGACTGGTTAGTTGCCGTTCGGGACGTGTTGCTGCCGACCCGAGCACAATGCACTTTGTGCAGCCATGATCCTGACATACAAATGAATTAACATTCGATCATTTCAATCCACGACAACGCTTTGCCTGCGTACTGGCCGTCTGCCTCCCTTTCCGACTGGATGTGGCACAATCGCACAGGGCTGGAGCAACAGCGGGGCAAGTAAGAGCAATGCCAGCATTCCAAAGCTTTGGGGCAAAAAGCGTCAGGCAGTGGCAGCCGAATCCAGTGTTGCCGCTAAGGTCACAATCGTGCCAAAACCTGAAAGAACGAAGGAACTCATCGGTAAGCGACTCTAGCCGATCGTCATTGTCAGTAAAATTCATGCAGCTATGCATGATTGGGGACAATTCGTAATGATTTCTACTGGTCGCTTATGCTGTATTGCCTGCAAGGATACGGCATGCGAAATGGCTTTCCTAGCGCTGCTGGCAATAGACTCTCGCACAATGGAAACACTTCAATTTTTCCTTTTTGTACAGTTTTGTGCAAGTTCCAGTCAATTTTCAATCAATTTTAGCATTTCCTCTAGCAGCCATGCGGCATCAGTTTTGTTTCGCGACGAACCTTGCTGTCTACTCTCCTTTTTCCCTTCGAAATTCCATCCAGCCCCGGCGCCCACATCCATTACCCATAGTGCTTTACCAAGCCTACACCAATTGTGTACTGCAGCGCAACTGTCCCAACCTAGTCCCTGGCTCCTCGCCAGTCTCTCCCAACCTGTTTTTTCCCAGGCGGGCTGGGCTCCCACACAGCCAACCCTCCCTCCCTGCAGGACCACTTTAACCAGCATTTTATCGACCACGCAAATAGTCAAGTTGAGCAACGCTTAGTTTATATTATATATAAGATCGACCTATCATAAGACAGCGGTAACGCAAAAGATCCGTTCTTCGTTCGTCCCGTCAACCAGCCAAACCCGCCTCCCACATGCCCCTGTCGCCCGCGCCCAGTGTGCCGCCTGCCCCGCCCCACGAAAACTACACGTTACACTGTCCAAGTCTGCATCTGCATCGCATGTTTTGAGATTTTACCTTCTGTTACCGTACGTCTGTCCATGTTTTTGCGCTGCCGTCCTGCAGCCAAGGCCATCGATGAAAACATGCTATTCCAAGATATGCCTTCCGCAGCCCTGGAGGTCATCATCGATTCGATGCACTCAGTGGAAGTCCCCGCGGGCACGGATATCATCCGGCAAGGGGATCGAGACGCGTCGCAGTTTTACGTGTTAGAGGCGGGCGTGTGTGAGGTGTGGGTGCGGAGCGGCAACGCGCAAACTGCCAAAAAAGTGCACGTGTACAGCGCCGGTAGCAGTTTCGGAGAATTGGCGTTGCTGTACTCGGCGCCGCGGGCGGCCACCGTGAAGGCTACCACACGGTGAGGTTGCTGCACGTCATCAACGTGTGTACTGCAAGGGCAATGGCGGGCAACAAATCCCTTTTGCAGTAGGAAACCCCCCCTGGAGAGAGAGCTTTCAGCCGCAGCCCCCCGCGCCGCTGTATCGTGTCCTCCCGCAATAGCCACAACAGTCCAAACATAGACGGTTTCATGGCACTTACGAAAGGGGGAAAGGACAAGGGAATATTGAGCATGTACGGGGCCAAAAGACTGGAGACGTTGGACAGGCGGGAAACGGTTGTGGCGATGTGGTGGCTTGGTTGTGGTTGAGATGCGTTGCACCTGATGCCGGTTGGGTTCCCATGTCGACCCCGATCCTCTGATCCCGGACCCCCGCACCAGACCAACCACTCCACGGCAGCCTTTGCTGGCGGGCTGGCTGGCACCCTGCATACTGTGCGGGGTCACACCAATAATCCCTTGGACTGTATTTGGATAAGTTCGTACCAGTTCTGATTTGTTAAGAAAGCGATCCATCCGGATCCAAAAGGGGGTATCTAGGAGATCATGGGACCTTCTTGTAGCATTAGACGCGATCGTTGTCGGCACCCACATCTTGTCGTCCTACCGCCCGAAACCGGCTAACAGCTACAAGCGCTTTTTAAAGGCTCGACCCTTTTGCCGGGCTTTGCATCTTATGGGAATTTTTGCTTGCGTTTTTGTCGTCGCTTAAACACCGCTAATAATAATCTTTCTGCTGGCGCCTCCCGTCCCCCCTCCTTCTACCCCGCAAACACTACACTACCCCAGATGTGTCCTGTGGGTGATGGAGCGCAGTGTCTATAACGCCGTGAAGCGCAACTTCACCCACGAACAATTCGTCGCACGTCACAATTTGCTCGACACGGTGAGTCGGTGGGGCGCCGTAGACCTTGACTGAGGGTCCTCAGACCCCTCCGATGTACTGCGTACGGCACTAACATGTGGAGTTCGGTTGCGATCCAGAAAACGGCAACAGGAGGTTTGTGCAATACATTTTCTGATGGTGGTGATGGTGGTGATGGTGGTGATGGTGGTGATGGTGGTGATGGTGGTGATGGTGGTGATGGTGGTGATGGTGGTGATGGTGGTGATGGTGGTGATGGTGGTGATGGTGGTGATGGTGGTGATGGTGGTGATGGTGGTGATGGTGGTGATGGTGGCGGTTGTCGTATGTGTGGAAGCGCGTGTTATTGTTATATATTATGACCTGGACCCGCGATCAGGAACTGGCGAGGACGGCTGGGTGCGTGTATATGTGTGTGCTTGTCGCGGGTGGGTGTACGCGGCCTGTGACGGTGGCTGCTGCTTTGTGCATGAGTTTGTGGCCGTCACGAATTTGCCAAAACCCAAAGCGAGTAGTATCATCATTCTGTGCGGGTTAAGGTGTGTTGACATCACTTTAAAATCCAACTTTCGGACTACGGCACAACGAGGAATATATTCTGCACCCTTACCTTCAGTCAACCCCCAGCCGTCTGTCTACCCACCATGACTGCCTGGTTGCGGGGTGACTGGCTTCCCGCCGTATTTAACACAGAGCCGACCCGGCCTCACCCGTTCACACCGGTCCCATCTCCCCTCCTCCCCCGCACACCAACCTCCGCAGGTGCCGGCACTGAAGAACTTGTCCAACCACCAGAAGGCTTTGCTCGTGGATGCGCTTACACAGGCAAGGCGCGGCGCGGCGAGGGTGGGGTGACGGGACGCGGCGGCTACGGGCCGTGGCAAGGAAGGCAGCTGAAAGTTGGGAACAAACAGAGAGTGCGGGGTGTTGGGCGTGCAGGTGGCCTTTGATGAAGAAGGAAACGTAGCCTGCGTGCCCAACTCAGGCGCTGTGTGGACCTCGTGATGTGATTATACATTATGAATGAAGAAAAGTAATAGTGAGAAAGAGAGAGAGAGAGAGAGAGAGAGAGAGAGAGTGAGTGAGTACGGCTAATGGGGCCGTACGTGTGGCGACGGTCATAATGTCATCCGCTAAATAGCGGAATGTGGCCCAATTCAGGGACTGAAATAAAGAGCGAATTGACATGAGGAATGATTTATTGGGGTTATTGGAGAGCGCGGGGCACAGGTATGCGTTTTTGAGCTCACCGCGCAGGGAAACAGCGCAGTGATGTGTGTGCATGGAATGGTGTTGGAATGCCTTGAATCGCGTTCCCCCTGTATTGTAGTACGTACATACGCGCACGGGTTTTGGACGAAGGGGTTTGTGTGTGGGGGGGGGAAGATGCATTGAGCCAGCCGTAACAGCTCCCGTCCACCCTTACTTTATCACTGCCAATTGCCAACCACTAACCACCAACCGCCTAAACGAGCTTCCACTCCAAACGCGCTTGTACGCAGTCGAACCACCACCGCCCCGACCCCTTCATCGTTTCAATTTTTCTTCATGTACGAGTCCACGTAACTGCCTGGGCCCATTGCTGGCCTTTCCCACTTCCTTCTTTCCTTCCATGTTTTCCTGATCGTCCACACCACACGACCATCCACGTTCTTGGCGCACTTCCCTAAACTTTTCGCGTCTCCAGCTCTTCGGAAAAGTGGTTTTAAGTGCCGTGCCTAACGAACTTCCAACCGCCAACCGTCCACTGCCAACGGCCGCAGGTGGAGTTCAAGCCCGGACGCCACGTGTTTCGCCGTGGCGAGCCCGGCTCGGACTTCTACATCGTGAAGGAGGGCACGGCGCTGTTGAAGGACGCAGCCGGCAATGTGTTGTCACGGTTGACTGTCGGGCATTACTTTGGGGAAAAGGCGCTACTTGACCGGGAACTGAGGGCTGCAGATGTGGTGGTGGGTCAGGGCTGGGCTGGGGTGGGCTGAGCGACGCTAGGGGAGATCGCGGGAGTGTGTGTTTGTGTGTTTTGTTATGCATGCTTCATCAAGGGAAATGCGGTCCAAGGCGGATGATGGGTCGCAACGTAATCTTTGACCGGAATGGAAGTTAAAAGGGAACGACCCCCGGGGAATGCATAGCGCTGCGGTGTTAGGGGGAAGAAGAAAAGGAAAGCGCCGAATCACGCCCATGATGAGGTGGGTGAGGGTGTTAGGGGCGGCAATGTTTTGCCATGGGTCCATGGGTCCATGGGGCTGTTGGGGGTTCCGAGCAGCTGGAGGGAATGCGCGGGGGAGTACGGCCCTCCTCAGTGCCTCCACTATGATCCCTCGAGCCCTCTCTTTCCCAAACGAATGCCCTCTCCCCCCTCTCCACCTTCCCTACACCTTCCCTCCCTACCTTCCCTACCTTCCCTACCTTCCCTACCTACCTTCCCTACCTTCCCTACCTACCTTCCCTACCTTCCCTACCTTCCCTACCTTCCCTACCTTCCCTACCTTCCCTACCTTCCCTACCTTCCCTACCTACCTTCCCTACCTTCCCTACCTTCCCTACCTTCCCTACCTACCTTCCCTACCATACCGCATTATACTCCCAGGCGGAAGGCAGGTTGGTCTGCTACTGCCTGTCTGCTACAGCCTTCCAAGACCTCCTGGGGAGCAAAGAGGAGATCTGGAGGTTCGAGCGCCTCAAGGCGGTGCGTGCGTGTGTGTGTGTGTGTGTGTGTGTGTGTGTGTGTGTGTGTGTGTGTGTGTGTGTGTGTGTGTGTGTGTGTGTGTGTGTGTGTGTGTGTGTGTGTGTGTGTGTGTGTGTGTGTAGCAGCCGCTCACCTGACGGGACGACTGACAGCGCGGAAGCGTGGAGTTGTTAGTCCTCACCGATGCGGGAAGAAGTCCAACCAAGCGGCAAGCACTAGCGTACATATACGTGTACGTAACGATTAGAGACGGCGGCAGCGGAGTCTTGAACTCCGAACACCTAGTAATGTGATACGTCAGTGTCTGGCCAGAACACCCCGCCCGGGTAGCTTATATCTCGGCCTACCTGCCGGAGAATCCCTACTACGGACTTTGCCGTACTAGGATAATGTTGGTGGGGCCCGGGGCCCCATCCCGTTAGATTCGCTTACTAACAACTGCCCAGTTCGTGACATGTGACGAAACTCGGAACATGTACGAAACTTGAGTCAAATCGTTTGACAAATTAACAGTTATTGTTAAAAGTAATCGTTAAAATATTCTAAGGGAAATGTAGCTTGCTACAGTGTGTATTATGTTCGTGCATGCAACCTCGTGGACGAAGGGTTATAGCACGTGGCGAAGGGCGAGGGAGAGACGGATGTGGATACGGACCGCACCATGCACACACACACACACATACACACACACACATACACACACACATACACACACATATATGTGCACACACACACACAATATTACACATACCTTCACACACACCTGAGCTCACCAACCCATCGGCCATTTCCACCACAGGTGCCGATCCTGTCAGCGCTGTCTGAGCGGCAGTTGTGGCAGTTGTCCCACGCCATGCAGACGGCCAGCTTCAAAAAGGGCGACGTCGTGTTCAGGAAGGGCGAGCAGGGCGACATGTTCTACATCGTGCAGTCTGGATCCTTTGTGGTGGTCGATGGTGGGTCCTACAGCTGGCCGGCTTTTAAACCTTCTCCTTTCTGTACTGCACCGCCGTGCCCTGCCCTTGCCTCGCTCTACCACGCCCTGCCCTGTCCTGCCCTGCCTCAATCTGTCTGCCCCCGCGCTGCCCTGGCTCTGCTTTGCCGGCTAATGCCCCTAATACCAAAACCTGGGACTTAGGAAAAACCCAAACTTCACATCATAATGTAGATGGTTCTCATTGTCGCTCAGAGCCCCGCCCTGTTCTCCCCCGTCTCCCCCAACCAGCCAGTTTTCTCCAACTGCACGGAAAAGCACAAAGAGGTCGGCCAGAGGGCTACCTACCCGCACCGCGCCCAGTTTCACCGGATTGCACCGGGCGCCTAGCACCTCCACCGCCACCCCACCCCACCCCACCCCACCCCACTCCACCTCAACCCACCCCACTCCACCGCACCCCACCCCACCCCACCCCACTCCACCCCACTCCACCCCATACCCCAACCCAACCCATTACAACGTCGAACCATTCTAACACCACACTAAAGCTCCACACATCCATCCATCCATCCACATATTCATCCAACCACCTACCCCTGTGGGGTGGATGGTCCTCCAACCTTAGAGAATGACAAAGAGCTCGCTACGGTCCGGGAGGGCGGCTGCTTCGGTGAGCTGGCTCTTCTGCGGTCGGATGTGCGAGCCGCCACCGTTAAGGCCACCGCTGAGTCCGCAGTGCTCACAGTGTCCCGGGAGCAGTTCACCAGGCTGCTGGGGAACCTAACCCAGCTGCGCAGCATCTGGCGCTTCGAGGTGGGCTTAGGAGCGGAGCTTGTGACGGCGGGCTTGTGCGGGGACGGGATCTTGCGGCTGGCTTGTGGTGGGCTTGGGGGAGTCTGCTTTTTGCGGGGCCTTGTGCTGAACTAGGCTGCGCTGTGAAGAGGAAAGGTGAGGGGAATCAAAATCATATTTTTCTGGCCGTGTGGCAAAGAGCCCGCGGGTATTCTCGGAGCCTAGGCCAAGGAGAAGAAGCTACAGCTTTTCCCATACACACACACATACACGCATGCTATTTCCCTCCGCCCACGCTGTTCCCCTTCCCCCGCAGGCCTTGAAGAAGGTGCCCTTGCTGAGTGCCCTTGACAACAACACCCGATCCACCCTGGCAAATGCGCTCCGCTCCGTTACCTTCAAAACGGGGGAGGATGTCATTCGGCAGGGGGACATCGGCGACCGCTTCTACATCGTAGAGAGGGGCGAGCTGGGTGTGTTCAAGGACCGGCAGGGACCCATCAAGACGTACGGGGCAGGTGCGGGATAGATGCGGGAGATAAAGACATGTGTATCCAGAAATGCGTATTGTGTTTGTCTGTGCCCCCGGGTTTGGGGAGGGCAGCAAATTGAGCGGGGGGGGTTCCACTGCTACACTTCATACGCTGCTGCATGCTTCTTTCTTCGCCGACGGACACACACACACACACACACACACACACACACACACACACACACACACACACAAAGGGCGAAGTACGGCATCGGGCACAGATAGTCCAAAAGTTCCTTGACAACTTGCCCATGTCATTACTCGTTGGCTTTCTTCTCCTTTCTTCTCCTCCCCCAGAAAACCTCAATCCGGTTCCTAAAACCCTAAAACTCGCCCCCCCCTTTACACCACCCCCCGGGCTGGCTCAGGTGCCTACTTTGGTGAGCTGGCCCTGCTGCGCAATGAGCCCCGGGCAGCGACCGTCCGCGCCGCCACCGACGTGTCCCTCTTAGAGCTCGACAGAGGCAATTTCCACGAGCTGATGGGCCCCTTGCTGCCTGTCATGACCAAGGAAGCGGAGGCCTACCTCCGGCAGGGCGCCAACTGGAAGCCGCAGAACAAGGCATTCAACGTCGCGGACGCACAGGCCGTGGCGGTGCTGGGCGCGGGGGGCTTCGGACAGGTCCTGTTGGTGAAGTATAAGGGTAGCTATCATGCCTTGAAGGCGATCAGCAAGGCGTTTGTAAAGGAGCAGGGGTTGGTGGAACACGTCAAACGAGAGAAGGTGGGTTTAGATGGGTGGGAGGGCGGGTGGGGGGGATGCAAGCGGTTGGGGTGTATGGGTGCTCTGTGTGTCTGTGTGTGTGTGTGTATGGAGTTGCATTACCCTCCAACGATGTGACGGGCCCATACCTGGCGCCCGGATGAGGGGGGCCCCCAAGGAGCCAATTGAAGACTGTCCAAATAAGGCAGACATGAATGCTGCCATGCTTGTAGAGTTAGGTCAACTTGATAAGCCAAGCACCGTGCCCTTCCCTCTTTTTCCTGGCTTCTGCTTCCCTCTTCATGAGCACACCACCGCTCTACCACCACCACCACCACCACCACCACCACCACCACCACCACCACTTCCATGTGCAGGAACTCATGTCGGAGTGCGACTCTCCCTTCCTTGTACGGCTCGCGGGTACGGCAACGGATGACACGACGCTGTACATGATGATGGAAGCGGTCATGGGCGGCGAGCTCTTCGCCTACCTACAGGCGGGTATATATGTTTACTAAATACCCCTGCGCAAATACACCCTAGGGTGAATTCATGCGTTTCATTGATAGATAAGTTATCGCAGCATGCGGTCCCTGTTGCTCCACTCAATCACTTCATCAAGGCAAATACCGGCAACAACAAGAAAACTGTGACTGAGCGCGCGCGTCTAATCCAAAGCTTGTCTGGGCGCTCTCGTCACGTTACTTCACGTTACCCCGTGGAGGCGCAACCCGCCCGCCACGAAGCGCCCGTTGCCACCCCCCTCTCACTCCAATACACCCAGCCTGCCCACCACCGTGAAACCGTGTCTGCCAGTCCCCCGGATCTTTGTTCCCTTCTCATTGAAATGCATCACCGCATATACGGTGTATGTTAGTGTGTTAGTGTGTTAGGCTTCTGGGCCGCTTTATCACATATACGGTGTATGTGACTAAGCTAGGAGCGATGCTCTTCCTTCATTGTCCGGCTGTCCTCTGGTTGGCGACATTGAGGAACCGTGTAAGGGCCACAAGCTGAGTACCACACCCACCGTTGGCCAACCGACTCCCCAATCACCCCCCAATGCAGACTCGTACGCGGCCTCTAGACGAGAACCACGCCCGCTTCTACGCGGCCTCCGTTGTCCTCGCCCTGGAATACCTCCACGATAGGGATATGGTGTATCGGGATCTCAAGCCCGAGAACCTGCTCATCGATCTTCAGGTGGGCCTCCTGGTCAGCGTGTGCGTGGTCGTGTGTGTGGATGGAGATGTTTGTGTGTTTTATGACTTAAGGTTCGAGCGTGCATGTGTATGCGTGTATGTATGTGTTGCTGCACTGCGCATCGTGAAGTTGACGGGTGTCCGGTACGTGCATGGGTGTGGGGGTGTCGGAATGGGTGAGCTGGGTGCGGAGGGGACACGGCAAGTTGGGGCTTGTGGCCCGGGTGGGGCTTGTGGCTGGGTTGTCTGAAGACAGACAGATGGCCGAAACATCCCGTCCCCTGCCTGCTCGACACGGTGCTGATACTAAGATTTGAGTTCCAAAGCAGCGGAGGGTCGCCACAAAACGACGGAAAGCAACAAAAGCAGGCAGCATTTGACGAGTTCCCGCTACCCAGCGAACAATTACATGTCCCACCCATCCACGCACTCGCCAACCAAAAACCTCCCAACTAACCAACCAACTAACCAACTAACCCCCAGGGGTACCTCAAGGTAACGGACTTTGGCTTCGTGAAGCGGCTACGAAAGGGCACCAAGACCTTCACGCTGTGCGGGACACCCGAGTACCTAGCACCAGAGGTTGGAAGGGGGGTTGGAAGGGAATAGGGCAGTATGGCTTTTGCGTATTTTTATTGAACGACTGATCCGTGTGTATCCGTGCGTATGTATGTGCGTGTGAAAGCGCCCTTAAATACGTCATCCCTAGGGCTGCTCCAGCGGTTTCATTTGAGCTTTAATTTTTATCCCTCTTCTGACTCCGGACACTATTCCTCACGTTTATTAGCCAGCCCTCATCCTAGCCATCACCCTCAATCCTGACACGGCTCGATCTGATCTGGTCCCCATCCGACCCGCTTTGATCTGATGGCTTAATCCCGAAGATTATAATGAACAACGGCCACAACGGCGCAGCGGATTGGTGGGCGCTGGGTGTGCTCATCTTCGAGCTGTGCAACGGCCTGCCGCCTTTCATGGATGATGACCGGTTGGCCATGTTCAGGAAGATCTGCAACCGGTGCGTGTGATGAGAACGACAGGGGGGCGGCGGCGGCGGCGGCGGCGGGATGTAGCAAGAGTTTTGTTTGTGCGGTGCGGGGGTGATGGAACAAGCTAAAAAGGAGGTTGGGAGAGGGAGGGAAGGGCGGATCGACGAAGCGAGGGTGTGAGGGAGGCAACGAGAGGGGGAAATGGCGCCACAAAGCGTCACCCAGCGGCCGCGGGGATGTCGTGCTGGGCGGAAGCAGGAGAAAGGAGGGGATGCCGGGCTGCGGCAAACCCTCCGCTGCTGCTATTCCTGCCGCTCTGCTTTTGCAGCTGCTGCGGCTGCTGCTTCTGCAGTCGCTGTTGCTGCTGCTATTGCATCTCCGTGAAACATTTTTGTCTAGGCGCAAGGGTCTTTATAGATTTGCATGACCAGCTCACCAAGCGACTGCCTTTGTGGTGCTATGCGGTATGAGATACCCTAAAAACCCACTCACCTTTGCCCACCCTCCCACTTCCCCACCCTCTCCCTCTGCCCTATCTTCCCTCTGCCCCACGCGCTCCTCTCCTCCCCCCCGCCGTGTCGTCAGGGACCTTACCTTCCCCAAGCACTTCTCGAGCAACCTACGTCATCTGATTGAGAGACTGCTGGACCCCAACCCGCTGTTTCGTACGGGTGCGGGCCGTGAAGGGGCCGCGGAGATCAAATCACACCCTTGGTTCGCAAACTTCGACTGGGATAAGTTCCAAGGTGGGGCTCGGCTTGGGATGGGTTTTAATCGGTTAGGGTTTTAGGGGTTTTAGGTTTTAACCATCGGTTTTAAGGTTTTAAGGGCTTTCAAGAGTTTTCAAGGGTTTTCGGGATTTCCGTTTTTACGTTTTTGCTGAGGTGGAAAGCGACGGTTCGGTTGTTGTTGATAGCATAGCTCTTGCGGGCGAGCAGCCCAAGGAGTTCAGAAGATCAGTAGGCTGAGAGAGGACGGAGGGCAGGGCAGCCGGCCTTCAATCGCCGAATCCATTCCCCTTTAAACGGTCAATTAGTTAAGATTGGTTAGCTGTTAGACTTTAAACATTCCTTATGATCCGCCTGGGACGCTGCTCGGCGTTTTTCGCACCTGTGTGCGGGGATGGAATCCTGTTCTTCCCCCTAAATTCCCCCTTTTCCCTCGCACTCCCATATGTTTGTCACGTTCCGCAGCCAAGCAGCTTCCCGCGCCCTACATCCCCAAGCAACCCTCACACGCGGGTGACACCTGCAACTTCGCACCCATGCAGGTGCGGGATACCTGCGGACGTAGAAGGAGATGAAGAAAAAGGGTGTTTCGTATCCCCTTTTTTGTTGCGTGTTCGTGTATGATGATATGCACATGCACCCGTAGGCTTCTATCGCCCCCTTGTCCCTCCTACTGCCTCTCTGCATTTCTATCCGTTTTTCTTTGCCTCTGCTTCCGTTTGCCTGTCTGTCCTTCTGTCTGTCTGTCTATCTGTCCTTCTGTCTGTCTGTCTATCTGCCTGTCTGTCTGTCTGTCTGTCTATCTGTCTGTCTGTCCATTGGTCTGATGAGTGATGTCGCCTATCCGGCTCTCGCCACACCCCCTCAGGTGGACACCAAACAGTTCCGGAACAAGGCCTACAAGAGCAAGGGCACCTTCAAGGATTTTTAAGTCATTAGCGAAGACGGAAGACGAACAAGAGGGAAAGAGGGAAAGAGGAGGATGAAAAACTGGCGAGTGAGGACAGCAGCCGGCTGCCTGGCAGAACTGGATTGCCCTTGTAGCGGCTAAACCTCGAATAAGTGGCTGTAGCGGCTGCGTGACCGTAGCGGATACATGCCCTGCTATCCACCCTGCTGCCATAATCCCACCGCAACTTAAACAACCTCCAACGCTAGAACCCCAAAAGGATTTCGGGAGCTTTTGCGCAGGCGGCCGGTCATAAAGCTCGTCCTCCGCCGTGTTATCGGTGTTGTCGCTGTGTGTTATCGTGGCGCACAGGAGTTTCTTAGGGTTTCTTTACCTGCATCCCTGGTGAATTAATGTCGAGAGCCGTAAAGCAGGCGCGGCAGAAGTGTAGTGTCCAGACCTACTGAGGAGCCCAGGAAGACTTCGGGACGGGACAGGCCCTGAAGGGGGGCGGCGGAAAGAAGGGGATTGTCGATGTGCGGCGGTTTCTTGCTCGAGGCTGACGGACTTGAGGGATGATGGGAGGAGACCTGAGGGGAAAGAGGATGGGGATTAGGGACAGCGATAGGGAGGTCTTTCGTTGTACAATAATGTTCGAAGTTGTGTAGGCTCGGCCCCCTGTGTGGGCAACTCCCATGGGCTGAAAATCGAAATGTGGGCAGCTGTGCGTTCTTGGCTCTCGGAGCGGGTTTGGGTATGAAGGGGCCGGCGGCTGAGGATGACGGTGGTGGCGGTGGTGGTGGGGTGTTTGAAGGTGTTTAGGAATCGGAAGTCCGTGAGGGAGGGAGGAGGAGGGTGTACGGAGGGAGCTGACGTGTCAGAACGGGACTCGACGGCGTGTGTGTGCGGCACCAGGGTGAACGACTGGGTTACCCCGGTGAGGAGCAAGACCTGTGATGATGTCCGCCAGCATGTCGAAGGGAGCATTGGTTTCACCACACGCAAAGCGCGCGTCTGTGTGTGTGCGTGCTGTTGCCTGTGTGCACGTGCGTGCGTGCGATGTACATGTGTACGTTATCATGTATGTACTTGTTACATATCGTTCCCTTTGGTCGTTAGTCTCATTTATCAATTGCTTTGTCCGAAGTGCGAGGTAGGATGGTGCTTACAGAGGCGATCTGGCAGCCCTTGAGCCCTCGGCTCGTATTGGGCGTTTTGCAGGTACGGGGTACGCACCCCCACGACTATGTAACACACACACGTACATACATACATACATACATACACATACATACACACACATACATACACATACATACACACATACATACACAAATCGAACCGGGCCTGTCACTGGCCAGGGCCACCCATGTGTACGTATGTACGTATGCGTTTTTATCTGCGATGACGTCATACGTTGTGGAGCTTGCGAACCGAAATAGAAAAGGTGAGCGGTGAGGTCCAACGTCGAGATTCTTTTCATGCTTACGACCGGGTGCCGTAGATGACTCGGGTCAGGTGCTTAGATGTGTTTTGCGATCGGCAAGAAAGGCCCTGAGGGATGATATCCCTAACCAAGCAAATACGGGGTCTTATATATAAGCAGCAGGCAACCCTGTCCTGCCTGCACGGTGGTGCCTGCATGGTTACTTACTTACTTTGGGCGCCTTGACAGTCTTTCGGGATCCCAATGGTTTCATCCTAGATGTGAATGCTGCAGGCGACTGCTGCTGAATGTCGTACAGATTGTCGTACACTGGCAATGCAACCAATCGCAGTGCCAGCTAGTTGGGCTATGTAGGTCGGTCGGTCTGCCCAGCAGCTCGGTTAGGCTCGCTGCACCGCCATTGTATGCACAGCGCCGTCTGTGCGCTGACCATACGGCTTTTCACGACCTCGTGGCGATGACGAGCTAGAAGCATGCGATGAGGGAGTCGAATGAACCTCGGATGTGATGGAGTGATAATGTAATGTGTGTCTGCACCTGCAGCGACCCGTGATTACCTAGGACAACTCAAAACGATATCAAAGGTTGCACAGTACGAACGGGCATGTGCCATGTGTTTGCGATGTATCTGAAGGTGTAATCCGGGGAGTAGCGCAGCTTTGCTTCTCATCTCCAATCCGCCCGCAGACCGCCGTGCATACCTGCTTCGGCACCCCATTCGCTAATTCACATGTTGAATGGTGAAAGCTTATGAGCTGTACGGAAGCCAAAGTGCCGTACGTTTACTTCCGTACATGTATAATAATGCTGTAATCATCAGATTCGTAGCATGCAACCCCCCCCGTAATGTACGTTCATACGTACGTACATACATACGTATGCATTATGTATGTATGTATATGTATGTATATGTATGTATATGTATGTATATGTATGTATATGTATGTATATGTATGTATATGTATGTATATGTATGTATATGTATGTATATGTATGTATATGTATGTATGTATATACATATGTATGTATGTATGTCGTCGCACAATTGAGACGCCCACATACAGCTGCTGTGGTGGGACGAGACGACTGCATTACACTGCCAAGAACCCGGGGATAACTCCCCCTCCTCCGTTCCCCCCGGGGCCACACATTCTGCACTGGGCTCCCCCGCGGTTGTCTTTCCCTGACACCAAACTTTTCCCGACACGAAACACACACGCTTACGCCTCTCGCCCCGCTCAAGCTCCCGAAACAGAAAGTGTAGCCCCCACGGGAAACCCCTCCGAAACCCGCGAGACAGAAACCCCCGGCAGTGAACCGAAGCGCCCTCACCAGGGAGCTCCAACTGCGAGTGAAGCCCCAGAGCGCCACCCGGGCAGCCACCCACTGGAAACCGCCAGCGCGAACATGGTGAGGACCCCGCCACCCCTGCCGTACGTGTTCAGTCTCCGACCTCCTGCCTTTATGAAACCTCCCGACCGTGCTGAGACCCGTGGGTCACGATTCTTCTTCGTACCGCCATTCTGCCGTTGGGTCCGGTACGGTGACCCGGCAAAGTGCAGGACAATGCATTGCGACTTCACCAGTCCTGCAGCCCCCAGGTAGCACAGCAGGCAATAAGTGCCGCTCACTGCCGTCATCATCATCTCTTCAAACACACCCATCCACCCCCCCACACACCTTCACACCTCGCACACACCCTCCACTAACAACGGACTTCCAAATGCTGCAGCTGCCCCCAGGAGAACCTCCCCTCTACCGCTACCGGCCGCCCACAGCCCAGCCGCCACCGCCTGCAAATGCCGTCCGCTGCCGTGCCAGGTAATACCGCTCCAGGGGTGGGCATCGCTGCAACTCAACTTCCCACAGCCGTTCCAAACCCCGCAACCACTCCCGCTCGCTAAGCTGCGGGTGATGCTGATGTTGTGGATGGTGGCTATGGTGGTGAGGGTGAGGTCCTATTAAAGGAGCTGAACCGGGGGTGGCGGCGGCTGCGGTGCTTGCCGAGGGGCTGCCCAGCGACAGCGGCCGCCGCGGCATCGCCAGCAGCGCCGCGCGCAGCGGCTCCAGCAGCCCTGGAGGCGGCCGTGAACCGCATCGTGTCGCATGACTACTATGTGGCCTGCATACAACAACAGTATGGTTTCTTTACCGGTGGTGCGAAAAGGTGCCCTTCCGGAAGGGGCGCGAGCCGATTGCTAACTGCTTGATGTTGGGATGCTGTTGATACTGTTGATATTATTATTGCTGCTGCTGCGTTATTCATTTATTTATTTATTTGTTGATGTTGTTGATGTTGTTGTTTCAGGTTTCCATTATGTATGGCAAGACCGAGTGGCAAAACCCTCAGTGCAGTCTGGGGACGTTGGGGCGTGAGGAGGAGGGGGAGGAGGAGGGGAGGCAGCAGTTCCACCCAGCACCCGCTGGTTCTGTGAGTCACTTGACTCAGCTGCAGTATGTGATTCTGCCAGGATGTACGTTTCCGTACGGCTCAGCAAGGCATGTACACACAAACAGCAACTTAGAGCAGTAAACGTACCTCGGCAGGGCCCAAAAGTGCAACACCCTGTCATCGCTATCATCATCGCCATCGCCATCATCATCGCCATCATCATCACCCTCGTCGCCATCAAGCAACTCCTTTCGCGAATGACCCACGGGTCGGTCATCCTCCTCCTCCTCCTTTCCCTCCTCGTCGTCGTCCGCGGCCGCCACCACCTGGCGCATCTCCTCACTGCTGCCGCCGTCGTACGCGTTTTTGTCTCCGTTCCAGCTGCTGCCGTGGCCGCCGCCGCCGCCGCCGCCGCCACCCAGCAGTCGCAAGACGTCAATGGCATACCCTACCAGTGGGTAGTGGGGGGGTCCGGGCAGGGTTTGTAGGTGGAAGTTTAGACAGTTCTGGAGCTCGTGGGGTAGGTCTAGGTAAGGAAGTGGTTAGAGGTATTTCTGGCCAATCGGTTACATCCGTACCCCGTCAGCAAGTGCCTCAGCATATGTCTTATGCGTGTAAGTGTGTACATGAGTGTAAGTATGTGTACGTGTAGATATACACATACTTACACTCATGTACACAC